CTGTTCTTTTCAACGGTAAGAATGAAATGTGCTCGCTGTATGGAGAATTTGAGAACTATAAGTTTTAAAAGGGCTGGAGAAATTGCTGTTAGTCTCATTTTCTACAGACCAGAGGCCCGGTGCCTAAAATTCATGCACTGGAGGGCGGGGAGGGGGGTCCCCTCAACCTGACCTGCGCCCTCTCACAGTCCGGGACCCCTCGTTCTTTATTGCCCGCCTGCTCCCTGCACCTTAGCGCTGCTGGGGAGGTGGGAGAAGCTCCCACCACTGCTGCTGTACTCACCAGCCATGAGCCTGGCTTCTGGCTGAGCGGTGCTCCCCGTGGGAGCGCACTGACCACCAGGGGGCAGCTCCTACATTGAGCATCTGCCCCTGTGGTCAGTGTGCAGCATAGCAACGGGTGTCCTGCCATTTGGTCAATTTGCATATTAGACTTTTATTACATAGGATACGTTTTGCAATATGTTTCCTTTCAGTCATGTTTCTATTATTTTGTAAAAACAAATTTCACTTAACATTATAACATAAGCATCATCTTCCCCCGTCAGCAGAAACTCTTCACCACTTTTAATTACACAACATTCCACTGGGAAGACGTGCCCTAATCTGATTATACGCCTTCCCATCGGTGATCAGTTAGGGTGCTCTCGTTCTCCCGAGGCCGTGCGCCGGTGAACATGTTCACACGTGAAGGAAAGCATCATGTCCTTCGAGAGCATAACCTTCACAGCTGGACAGACCGGGGTTCCCACCCAGATGCTGTTTGCCTGCTACTTACTAATTCACCGCAGGCCCTAACTTGTGCCAGCGTTCCACGCTCCACTTCTTCACTGGAAAGTGGGCAACAGATCTTCTGGGGTTGCAGAAAGTGTAAGGAAAGTGCCCACAGGATGTAATACATAACTCTGAGAGGTTTGGTTCTCATATCATCATTTTAATGTGCACATCTGTGTCTCACACCATTCTTTCCCTGCTCTTGGAGGTAGAAATGATGTATATGAAATCTCCATGGAAATGGAAAAAGTAATTTTACCTCGTATGTGATGCTGTCTTAAAATGCTTCACTAAAAATAAGGAACTTAAAAAAAGTTTGCCTGTAAAAATACCTGTAATTTTTTGGCAGTAAGTCTTCCAGAAATCACTCCCTTGCCATTATTTTGCTTTTTATGCTCATTGATCACTCCAATAATTCTTTGTTCTAGTTTGTTATTAATCACCACCTGTTGATGCCAAGAGATCATATTAATTAGGAGCTAAATTATGAAATCACATTTAGTAACTAAATAATTTGAAGCATATCACAGTTTTCTATATTCCTGCCAATCAAGGCCAAACTTCCAGCTAAAATCAGATATAGTGATTATTATATTTCAGACTACCATTCACCAGACAACATTCCTGTCATACATTGAAGAAAAAATGGGATATGCAAAAAGCAATACTGTCCTTGGACCCCCCCGGGACTCTATTCCTCAGATTCCGCACCGTCTTCAACACGCTGAATCAGCATCCTTGGTTGGAGCCCAGGACTCTGCCTTAACGCAAACCAGCCCAAACACGGCCTGAAGGAATAGAGGCCACACTAAAAAGGGGGGGAGGCACAGCCGTAAAAGTCAAATCTGTATAATGATAAGTTGTTTACAAATTCTTTTGGCTGCTGGAGTTTGATTCCTATGTTTTCCTTTTAGCCATTAAATCCTTTGTTGCGTCCATATTTTTAACCTAAGAATGCACACGCATCTACCTACAAAAATCCCCCCTCTTTATGACATCTTTACTGAATGCCTACTGCGACTTAAGCACAAAACTATGCTTCAGGAATCTAGAATAGCACAGGAAACATACATAAAGAGAAGCTGTGACCCAGCACGGCAATCATTAGAAAAGACATGTGGAGTGCTGATAAAACCACCAAGGAAGTCAACCTGGTGCCTTAGAAAGGGCTTCACCAAGGTCACAGACGTGACAAATGCATTTTAGGCAGAGCCCACGGCAAAAGCCTGCAGTTAAAAACCACGTGGGATTTGGGGGAACGTGAGATGGGAACTCATGTCTGCAGTGAAGAGGAGGGAGAAGGTACACTGAGCCAGGTTGGAAAGGATATGCTATGCTTAGGAGTTTGCACTCATCCACCCTTGTTTAATTTTTTACTGGCTTTCAACACACGTGTATGATTTACTTTATTTAGTATAGATAGCAGCTAGTGTACTACTTATAAAAATGTAAAATATCCATCTTTTCCTCCTATTTAAGAATATATATATGGGATTATATATATATATTATATATTATATATATTATATTATATATGGGATTTGAAGTAACTCAAAACCTTGGTACTTACTTTCAAAATAGATTTATCCAAATTTGCAGGACCACCAGAATCATTTGCAGAATTAAAACTATAAATTTTCGGACCTGTATATAACAGAGAATAAACAGTCAAGGCAATTTAATGATTAATATTCATTACACTATTTTCCCTATAAAGGTTGCTAAATATTATTTGATTTTAGCTTTTTCTCTTCTTCACCAAATAATTTAATCTAGAAATGAACAATATTCCCTCGAAGTTTTCAAAAACATTTTGCCAATTAGCATTTCCTAGGTTAATCACTTTCCCATAAAGTAAGAATCCTGCAAGTGTTTTAGATTAAATCTATCTTTATCTTGTTATTTAAAAAATTAGACGCTTTTGTGCCTGGAACTTAGCTGAAGTAAGGCCTGTCAGAGGACATTCGAGTCCTGGCAGAGAAGATGGGTGTGATTCAAACAACAATGACACATGGAAGATGGGTGGGTACAGGAAGAATTCAAAAAGGACTGGACCTCTGGGGTGGGCATAGAGGATTCTGTAGACAGCGTAGGGATAGATGGCATTCCGTTTAGAGAAAACGGCAAGAATAAACACAGGGAGCAGAAAGCCTACAGCTGGACACAGCAATTCGTAGAAACGCGGGCGGGCCCTGGAGGACGGCCCAATGGTCCGGACTTTACCACGTCCCTGAGGGTGCTATGCGGGAGAGGAATGCCACGGTCCAAGCAGCGTTTCTGAGATCACTCTGCCGCTTGCCTCGGGACAGGCGGGGAGGAAAGAGGAGAGCCAGACCGCCGGCTCCGCGAGAAGGCTCGGCTGGGCTGCAGGAGCTCAGGAGTGCCTGGACTGAGGGTGAAGCGTGCCAAGGGACAGGGACAGGGACAGGGACAGGGACAGGCATGGTGGGAGATACGCCCGTGGAGACGGCGGGGCCTGGCAGCAGACGGCATGAGGCGGCCAGGAAGGCATCGCCTGTCACTCCCGACGCCGACTAAAGGCGCATGGGAGTCGGAGGAGCGGGCCTGCAGGTCTGAGGAGCCTGCAGGGCAGGGCCACACGGTGCCAGTCCATGCAGACACGGCCGACCTGAGCTTGGAGAGAGGAGTGGACGCGAGCCTAGGAGTCACCTACAGAGGAGCAGGCAGACAGGCTGGAAGGAGATGCCCTCCCAGCGGGAGGTGGACAGGACTACACGTCAGCCCGGGCGGACGGAGGGGCAGGCACAGCCACCGCTTTGCATTAAAAGCTACAACGCGCGGCGGGGCCAGGAATTACCGCCCGCCCTCCAGGGGGGTCAGCGCCCGCCTGCCCCTGCGGTCCCTCCGGTCCCTCCTTCTCGGCCACGCTGACCGGCGAGCTCCTAAGGCCCCGCTCGTCCCTCGCTCGGGGTCTCTGGGACCGGGGACCGTGTCCTTGCCGCCGCCAGGAACCCCGCGCCGGCCACGCTGCAGAGTCCGCACCTGGACATCCTCCCGTCCCAGCCTCGGGTCCCTTTCCCACCAGCCATCGCCCCTGCCCTCTGCGGGGCCATTCCGTTACCGCGCGAAGGTCTGTCCCTTCGCTTTGCTTTTTAAAAAAATATGTTTCTATTGACTTTTAGAGAGAGGAAGGGAGAGGGATAGAGAGAGAGAGCATCGTAGATGGTCTGCCCCCCCACCCCCCCCGCACGCCCTCTGCTGGGGATCGGGCCTGCAACCGGGCACCAGGCAATCCAACCAGGCACCGGGCAACCCCACCGGGCACCGGGCAACCCGACCCGCGACCTCAACCCCCGAGCCACGGGGCCCGGCCCCTCCGCCATCTCCAGGGCACATCAGCTCTGCAGCCGGGGTCCTGTGACTCCCCATCGCGCTGGCCAGCTCCCTGAGCGCACCCCCTCCCTCACGGCGGGAAGAAAGGCGGCAGGTAGGGGTCCGGTAACGATGCGTGGACACCGGGGCCGGCCATCCGCACGCCCCGCGGAAGACGGAGTCCAGCCCGCGGGCCTTTTCCCCGCCGGCGTGTCAGCGGCACCCGGTCCTCACTAAGCCTCGCTTTCCCGGGACACGTGGCGACGCTGCGCGTGGCTGGACTCGCCGGGAGCAGCCGGTGGAAGGACGAGGCCCCGGGGCCGGTGCGGAGGCGGGCTGATGCCACGGCCGTGCTGTTCCGGGGAGGAGAGCACGGGGTGGACGGCGGCCATCGGGGCTCGGGGCGCGGACGGCTCAGGCCGACCTAACAGGGCTGTGGGACCGGGGTCTGCGCGGGCGCCCGCGCCGCCGGCCGCTCGTACCTGGCCTGACGCGGGGCTCCCGGGGACCGGCGGCGGCGGGCGGCCGGGCCACCGGCTTCTGGGTCTGGGCCTCGGCGGCGGCGCCGGCCTCGGCGGCCTTAGCTCTCGAGGCGGACACGGCGGCCCGCACCGCCGCGGCGCCCGGCGCCTTGTGCTTCTTGTTCTTGCCGCCCATGTTGCAACGCCGGCGGCAGACGGCTCCCGGTGTAGGCCCGGCGCCCTCGGCACAGTTCCCGAGCCTCTTCACAGCGCCCGGGCCCCGCGCGGCCAGCGGGCGTCCGCCATCCGGGCGTCTCACGGGCGCCGCCTCGCGATTGGTCCGGCGCACGGAGGCCCCGCCTCCTCGTCCCGCCCCGCCCCTTCGTCCCCGCAGCGTGACAAGCTCACTGCTGCCACCGCGCTACCCACCCGCTAGTGGTCAGAAAGGGAGAGAAGATCCCAAAGGTTGAGAAGGAAGGAAAAGGAAAGAAAGTTCCTAAGGGCAGGAAAGGAAGGGGAAGTCGGAGAGAGAAAAGAGAGAGGTTTCGCGGTGGCTGTTCGACTCGACCACTTTTGTCTCCCGCGGGCCACCGTCGAGGCCTCCAAGCGTCACGGCCGGCGTGGGCGCGAAGCATTGTGGGTAGCAGCGGATCGGACTGCATCTCCGGAAGATGGCGGACGCCTTCGGGGATGAGCTCTTCAGCGTGTTCGAGGACGACTCCACCGCTGCGCCTGGAAGCAGGAAGGACAAGGACAAGGGGAAATGGAAGGGGCCTCCGGGGCCGGCGGAGAAGGCCGGGTAGGCGACGGGGCCAGCGTGCTTTTTCCTCTCTCCGCGCTGAGAGAGGAAACGCGAGACCCTTAAGCGGCCCGAGGACGCGGGGGGGTCCATTGAGTGGCCTCGGGAGGTGGGGGGTTCGAGGACGGTGTTGAAGAGGGAGGAGCATGCGGTCCGGAGCGGGGTCCCGGGGTCCCCGGGGCGCGCAGGCGCGTGGGCTCCGGCGGCTCTAGGCCGCGCGTGGCTGCCTCTCCCGGTGTCTGCGCCGCGGGGGGCGCGCGCGGGCGGGCGGGCGGGCGGGCGAGGTCCGGTCTCGGGCTGAGCAGCACCGGAACCGCGCCTGGCGGGAGTAAAGGGTCACGAAGCGTGGAAAACCCGACGTGGGTGGCCTGGCAGGGGGAAGGGACGGCAGCCGCGGGAAAGGGGACAGGAATGGGCCGTTTCCCAGCTCAGAGGCGGAGGTGCCGGCCCACCCCCGGGGCTGGTCACTGTCGTGGTTCAGTGACCGTCGGCGTAGTTAGAGCGCCTGACAGCGCAGATCTTCAAAGGTTGGCCGCCGTTGGGTTTGCTAAGGAAATCCTAAGGAAAGTGCCGGTACCGCCCGGGTGTGTCCGCTGGCGGCACGATAGCCAGCGGGGTCGTGTCCTGTGGAACCAGGGAGCGGGAGCATGGAGCCATGGGGTGTCCCTCGGCCGCTTCGTCCGCGTCGGATTGAGGACCTGGTGCCGCGGGGGCGGGGAGCACCGTCACCAGCCATCCGCGGAGTCAGCCATCCGCAGTAGAAACAGCCTTCTCTCCCGCCGGAGGGAGCGGGAGGGCTGGGGGGCTTTGCAGGGCACATGAGAACGGAGGACAGCCCCCCCAACAATGATAATTCATAGCTGCTGTAGAGTGGGGGGCTTTGCAGGGAACATGAGAACGGAGGACAGCCCCCCCAACAATGATAATTCATAGCTGCTGTAGAGTGGGGGGCTTTGCAGGGAACATGAGAACGGAGGACAGCCCCCCCCAACAATGATAATTCATAGCTGCTGTAGAGTGAGCGGGCCGCTGTGTTCACGACCAGCTCTTCCAGATAGGTCTTGCCTTGTAGGTGTTTTTAGGAAAGAATCCAACTTTCCCGATTCCAAGTATTATATGTAACCAACACATGTAGCGTGATTTCCATCTGATTTGTGTAACACAGGAGGGCAAGTCATGGAACTTAAGGGGGAATTATGTGTTTAACCAAGTGGGTAGTGTTTGTTTTTTACTTTAAAAAATGTATTTTCATTGATTTGAGAGAGAGAGAGAGAGAGAGAGAGAGAGAAACATCAATGATGAGAGAGAATCATCGATCGGCTGCCTCCTGCACATTCCCTACCGGGGATTGAGCCCACAACCTGGGCATGTGCCCTGACGGGGAATCACAAACCCAGGACCTTCCGTCCGCAGGCGGACACTCTATCCACTGAGCCAAGCCGGCTAGGGCTGTGGGTGGTTTTAAAATATAACTTTATGAGAATTGTCCAGAGAGGGAATAGTATGAAAGACTCCACAGACCCTTAGATCAGCTTCAGCAAGATCAAGTCGTTGTCACCCTCTTCTCACACCCTTTTGTAAATCAGGTGCTCCTCATCATGTTATTTCTCCTAAATATTTCAGTATGCATCTCTTTACTGATAATGATTTTCTTTTCTGACATAACCATCATACCATTATTACACCCAACAACCTTTCAGTAATTCCTTAATGTCTAGAGTAAAATTTTCAGTTATCGCAAAGGTTGTTTTTTTGTGTGTGTATTTTTTTGGTTGGTTTATTTGAATCAAAATCCAAAGTCCATGCACTATTTAGGTCAGGAGTCCTCAAACTTTTTAAACAGGGGGCCAGTTCACTGTCCCTCAGACCGTTGGAGGGCCGGACTATAGTTTAAAAAAAACTATGAACAAATTCCTATGCACACAGGGGCGGAAAACACCTGGCGGGCCGGGTAACTGTTTTCGGCGGGCCGCAGTTTGAGGACCCCGGATTTAGGTTGTTGGACCCCTTAAGACTTACTCTACAGCAGTCTCCTCATCTCTCCCTGCGCCATCAGCATGTGGTGGAGGACTGGTACGAGGAGAAACCGGTTTCTGTCCTGTCGTTCCCCGCGGGCTGCGTTTGCTTCCCTGTCCTGCCGTCTAACGTTCTGAGGAATCACGGAACTGTCCTGTCCAGAGTCACGCTGCCTGATACAATAAGCACCGCCCAGCAGTAGCTCTTGAGCACTGAGAAAGTCGCCTGTCAGGCTTGAAATGTGCTGTGAGTGTGACACACAGGGATTTTGAAGACCTAAGAAAATGTAAAATACCTCAATATTTTTTTCTCTGGAGAGTATATTGAAATGACAATACTTTGAATATATATTAGGCTAAAGGAAATAAAGTTGGTTTCTTTTAAAGTCTTTTAATATAGTTACTAGAAATTTAGAATTACAAGTGTAACTTGGATTATGCGTGTACTATAATAAGAATTACACTCAGGTTCAATTGTTTTAAATAAGAATTCTTAGTGGTGCTGTGTGCTTGGTTCCTATTGCATTGCATGATGTTCAAGCTTCTGGGTTGTGTCAGCCTGACCGCCCATCGACCTCTCATAATGACTTCAGCATCGGTGACAATTGCCTAACTCCGTTATTTCACTAGTAGTTAAAAATGGTGTTTTTTCTTTTTATCATTTTTTTCCTGCATTTATTACCTGGAATCCATCTATTAGAAAGAGATTCCCACATTCCCTCCTCACCTGTTTGCTTTGGAATACAGTTCACAGGAGAAAGGTAGGGTAAATGCTTGATTCTTTCTCTAATCAGTTTTAAGAGAAATCAGTTGTGTCCCGAGGAGCTTCGATGTTGACCAGTGTAGGCATCTAGTTATGTGTTTGGTTTCCTGATAAATCAATGGATTTTACCAAGTCACTCTTAACCAATGCTGCAGAATTCATTTTAAACCGTTTACTTCTCAGGAAACGTTCTGATGGGAATTTACAATCCGAGTCAACCAGTGTTGGAAAAGCCAAGAGAAATGTGGATTTTGAAGGCACAGATGAACCCATTTTTGGAAAGAAGCCCAGGGTAGAAGAGTCAATAACTGAAGACTTAAGGTAGTGTTTCCATTGTCGTAAATGTTAGTAACTCGTAAGTTGGTAGTTGCATGAAGTTTTGAAAACTGCTTCCATGTTGATGAAAATGCATGCTGAGATAGAGAAATGAAGACATTCTTTTTGTAATTATAAAAGCATGGAAATAGAGAACATTTAACTAAGTTTGGGGAAATGGAGTCAGTATAGAAAAGATGTTTTAATACTTTAGAATGCAATTTTGAGAAAGAATGTTGAAGCCTGGTTTTTAAAAAAAGAAGAAATGACATACTTCCTTCATTCATTAATGTCCCAAGAAGAGTGGAATAAAAAGGAATAAAACCTACGCAAGAGAAGGAGTAGTGAGCAGGGACATTAGGAGGAGTTAGGTTTTCACTCTTGCGTGGAGCAGGAGAGTGGCTGTGAAGCAAGACTCCTCTCACCCAGGGAGACCCGGGGATGTCTGTGGCTGCAGTCGCTGCTATTGCTCTGATACTGAAAGTTGGAACTTTCTAGAAGTTGATGCCAATTTCTTAAGTAATCCACTTATTCCCCTGTGATGATCTTCATGGCTTTGCGTCTCTCCTTGTATGTCATATTCTAGCTTGGCACTACCATGAAGAACTTACGATTTTTTTTTTAACCAGTTGGCTGGTAGTGTAGTTAGCAACAGTAGCTACTGTATATGGTGGTAGATGTGTCACTGAAAATATTTAATGTACACTCTTTGCTCAAGCTAGTGGAATAGGTTAAAAAAATATAATTGGCAATTTAAAAAATCATTGTTGCTTATTGAAGTAACCCTAGGGTTTTATCCAAAGCATGATTGTTGATTTAAAGTAAAAATCAGAAGTACAGTCACTAAGAGATTAATGAATTCTAGCCCATCTATTTTCCATATGTGTAGTTTAGGATTTTGGTGAGAATAAGGAGCACTTCTGTAACGTGCAGCAGCATCTGGGTTAGACTAGTTTATTTTGTACTTGCTGTCATGTGATGGTTTTTATAACCAGCTTTATGTCGGAAGTAGTGACTGCTTTGTAGAGGTATTTTTTATTCAACATAGTTACTGGAACTAAGTCGTAATTCTTTGAATAATCCACTTGGAGACTGTTCTGTATTTGTTAACTGATTATTTTGAATTCTCAGCATATATTTGAATAATGTGAAAAACTTTGAATATTCAAAATAGCCAAGCCTTTTCCAATTGGGAATACTGTTAATTGGGCATTGTTATTTTCCTTAAGAGTGCCAATGGGAGGCTCACTATCTAATTATAGAAACACAAGAGGCCTGGTGCATGAAACTTGTGCATGGGGGAGGGGGTGTTCCCCCCTTAGCCCAGCCTGCGCCCTCTCGCAGTCCAGCTGCCCTTGGGGGATGTCCGACTGACAGCTTAGTTGGATATCCTTAGCACTGCCGTGGAGGCCAGCTTCAGCTTCTGGCTGAGCAGCACTTCCCCTGTGGGAGCGCACTGACCACTGCGGGCTGCTCCTGCATTGAATGTCTGCCCCCTGGTGGTCAGTGCGTGTCACAGCGACCAGTAGTTACGCCATTCGGTCAATTTGCAAATTAGCCTTTTATTATTTAGGATCATTTATTCTAAGGTAACTTGAACTTTTTTTTTTTTTAAGCTTGGCTGACTTGATGCCCAGGGTGAAGGTGCAGTCAGTTGAAACTGTTGAAGGGTGTACACATGAGGTAAGTGCAGTGTCCATCAGTAGGTTGGTGTGATAAATGGGATTTTGCCTGGGACTGTCTCGTGTGATGGTCAGCAAGCAGTTTGGCCTTGAAGGCTTTGGAAACAGTAAGGAGTTTCTGTGGAGTGGACAGTCTAGTGGAAGGACCTGGGGCCTTGTAGCCAAGCCTGAGCTCAGATCCTTGTACAGCACATTTTCAAACTATGTACAGTCTGATAAATTTCTTATTTATCTTTGTCATTGGTTTTTTAATTCATAAACTTGGAATAATGGAATTTATCTCACGGGGTGACTGTGGGATTCTATCAGAAAATTAGGAAAGGCACCCAGCACAGAGCAGGTGGTCGGTACACGTTCACTCCATTCTCCTGAGGTCAAGTAGCAGTGCCACTGCAGGTCACAGGCTCTTCCTGTCTTGCTCTGTGGCGTGTGTTGCAGTCTCATTGCTCTGCCACAAGGTGGTTTAAGTCTTGGGAATTTAGATATAATTGTGAACTGCTCTCCAGATCTTAATCTTCACTGGAGGGAAATTTTCTGTTCCAGGAAATAGAAAGCATCATTTTATTCCACATAGTTTTCTTTCATACAGTGACATCCCTTTTTATGTCCATTCAGCTTTTTTGAACATTCATTAATGTCAGGCAATGCATAAGAAAGGTCCTAGACCTGAAAAACATAGCTTCTTCAGGGAGACAGACTTAGAAGCTCCTGGTTACATTGTCATTAGGTTAAACACTGGCAGAGGTTTTTGAGTGTTGTAGCGTTAGCATTTTGACTTGTTCTTAAAGGCAGTGACTTAGTTTCAGTGTCCAGGACTGTCAAACACTAGTTCATCACCTTTATTTTTCAAACCATCATTGGTCATGGAGTGCTAAGTGCATCAATTCTTAAATAGTAAGTTGATGATTTATCTATTTCTACATCAGGTTGCACTTCCTGCAGATGAAGATTATATACCACTTAAACCACGAGTTGGAAAAGCTGCAAAGGTCTGTACTTTGGGCAATACAGTTTTTAAAGTTTTGTGACTCTCTTTTTCCTAAAATATCTTGGAGATAAATTCTTCCAAGTGAGATTTTTATGCACTATAGTGTATATATACTAAGAATCAGCTACCTGAAATTAAATGCAGTGAGAACTGAATCAGTAAAAATCATGCTGAGAGCCAAGCATCATGTGATGACATTTTAAAAAATTAATGGTTCTCAACCTTTTTAAAGAATCTCATGCAAATGACCAATCTTTCTCCAGAAAACAATGCACGTGTGCAATGAGCTTTGCCTATAGTTTTAGAAGTTTAACAGCTTCTAGTAAAACCTCTGCTGAGAGTGCTAGTGAGAAACTTCACTGTCCAGGGCCCCGTTTCCATCTGTGAAAGAAAAGAAAACGTAGTTAGGGTTGTTGTGAGTGTTAGTAATAATGCATGGAAATATGTTGCAAAATGCCTAACACAAAGCATGTCCTTGATAAAAGTAATGTTTAGTATATTTCAAGTAATGTAGCGTACATGTAAGCACATGACCATATTTGGAAGATGGCACAGCAGAATTAACTTCTATGCTGTCTAAAAATTTTTTTACTCTTCCTCTAGTGGGTGGTATATATCCTAAATACATAGAATCATAAAGAAATCTTCTAGAATGCTACTGAGGATAATGTCTCTTGATTTTAAGTCTGCTCTGTGGCTAGAATTTTCATATGGATGTTAATCTGTTTGTATTTTTATAGGAATACCCGTTCATTCTTGACGCTTTTCAGAGAGAAGCCATCCAGTGTGTTGACAATAATCAGTCTGTTTTAGTGTCTGCACATACGTCAGCCGGAAAAACTGTTTGCGCCGAGTGAGTAGCTTTCTTTATGTGACGTTTAGGTCTGTTGATACGTGTGGGTGCTTCTGTGTTGGTACGTAGACATTTCACAGGTGTTGGTCTTGTTGGATAGCCCTTCATCACTATGTAATGCTCTTTAAGCTCTTACTGCAGTCTGTGTTTAACTGTAGTTAGTCTGACTTACTAGTAAGTACTGCTCCCCATGATTTTCAACCCAGGACTGACTTGGTAACTCTTACCTGTGGGGAAACACTATATGTGGATTAACTTACCTGTGAAACTCCAAAGAAGAAACAGCATTTTCCAGTGTTTTCTAATTGTTCATACTCTATATGTATAAACCGACAAGCAGAGGCTCTGAACTTCTGGAGGCCCACTTATAGGACCAAAGGCTATTTTGCTTACAAGAAATAGGGTAACCATGAATAATCCATTGGTATTAGTAATTAAGTTACATTCATTCCAACACCAGAGGTAAAATTCTTTTTGTTTTAGATCACTACAATTTAGGTTTATCATAATAGTAACTAGAGGCCCGCTGCACAAATTTGTGCACAATGAAAGGAAATTAATTGGAAGAAATATCTTAGAGGCCAGGGAGGGACCACAGGAGGTTGGCTGGCCTGGGAGGAACTGTGAGAGGGCTCCAGGGGGTGTCCGGCCCGTCTCACCCAGTTCCAATCTATGGACCCCAGCAGCAAGCTAACCTACCGGTCAGAGCTTCTGCCTCCTGGTGGTCAGTGCGCATCATAGCAACTTGTCTAATGAACGGTCGGACATGTAGCATATTAGGCTTTTATTATATAGGATTATTACTATAACAGTTTGTTGATAGCAAATAAAAAAAGATATTAATGTTTTGGAAAGTCAATTTAGGATAAATTATCAAAAACAGACAATTTATATGCTAATAGAATTTTTTAAATCATATTTTTTTGGTATTTTTTTATCATTTTTCCTTTTCAATTACAGTTGACATACATTATTATATTAGTTTCAGATGCACATAGTCATATACTTTAAAGAAAAGGCTTTGTAAATACTTTGTTCTTGTTTGCTTCCCCATTTTTAGGTATGCCATCGCATTGGCCTTAAGGGAAAAACAGCGTGTGATATTTACCAGCCCGATTAAGGCTCTGAGTAACCAGAAGTACCGTGAAATGTATGAAGAATTTCAAGATGTGGGTCTGATGACGGGAGATGTTACTATTAATCCTACAGCATCTTGTCTTGTTATGACCACAGAGGTAATTTATATGGTGCCCCATCTAATTTTTCATTTTTAATTTAATTAAAGTACCCAATTAGAACATCTAATATTTTATCATTTGCCCTATAGAAGTAAAGTTTAATACTTTCTGAATAGATTTACTTGAAAGGGATAACTTTTATCTTAAAATGTTCTGATTGTATTAATATAGTTAAAAATTATCAATATTTATGACTTGTCATATAAGCTAGCTATAACTTTTTTCTCCACCAGGTGTTTTTAAAGGCTATTGTCAATGACAAAAATATTGATGGTGCTTTGTTTACATAGTTTCCAATATTTGAATACATAGTTTTATATTAGATCTTCCTTCCATGTAATTTTTTCCTTCTGTTTCTGAATGTTGACACAAATAGGTAAATAACTGACTTTTTAAAAAGATGCCCAAATATGTTTAGTTTCTCCCATAATCACAGTTAAGTTTTGCATATACACACACAACTTCTTACGTTTTGGACATAATTAGCTCTCTAAGTACTTTTATACATAAATTATATTCTTGTGCCCACAAGGGACAATAGAGCAGAAATTAGCTTCTAGTCTGCAGAGTCAGCCAGAAGCATTGCTCACTTTTCATTTTGGTGCCCAAAGTAGATCTTATTTCCCACTCTCAAAACGTTCTGCCATTTGTGGATTTTTTTTAAACTCAAAACTCAGGATAATTGTTCCTAGAAAGTATCCATATTGTGAGATGAGGCAGAAAAAAATGGGTAAACAGTATGAGATCTGGTGTGTTGGATAGGTAACTTTCTTTTAAATATATTTCTTTATTGATTTCAGAGAGGAAGGGAGAAGGAGAGAGAGAGAGAAACATCAATGATGAGAGAGAATCATTGATTGGCTGCCTCCTGCACACCCCCTACTGGGGAACGAGCCCACAGCCCAGGCATGTGCCCTTGGCTGGAATCGTACCCGGGACCCTTCAGTCCACAGGCTGACGCTCTATCCACTGAGCCAAGCCAGCTAGGGCTGGATAGGTAACTTTCAGTCGCTCGATCAGAACAGCTAGAGCACTGCACAGCACTGCTGCTCTAAGTCCATGTATTCTTCTAAATTCTGCTCCACTACGAACAACTGTCAGGGCAGGTTCCTTCTCACACCCTGCCCATTGCACTAACTGTTGGGGGCAAGCCCTTCTGCCAGGCGCTGAACCTTCTTGGACGCCTGGTATAGACAGAGAAGCCATGAGAAATTGTGGGTTATGTAAGAATGAGTCTTTATTGTAGAAGCCCATGGCCATAGCAATTAGACAAAACAGCTCTTCACAGCAAAGTTCCATTCAGGCAGCTGTACACCGGCTGGTGAATATGTATCTCCTACATAGTAGCATTAATCTCTGTGCCCACAGCTATTATCTGAGCAGCCGCACGCTGCCTCTAGACCGATCGCTTTACACAGCAACAGTACCTGAGTGCTCCCGTAGAGCTGCAGCCTCGGTAGCCTCTCCAGCCTCTCTGGCCCAGCAGCTCTCCTTTCTCCCCTGCCCAGCACACTGGCTGGTGAATAACATGTGTTATACTCTTTAGACAGAGAAGGCCAGTTGCCAGCAATGACATCAATCATTTGGGCTATAGAAGGGCACGGTGTACCAAGAGATCGCTGTGCCCTTGCAGCTCTTACGATATCTTAGTCTTGAACATTCTTATGAAGATTCCCGTTTTCAGAGTGGCCTTGGCCATTCCGGTGTACTAGCAACAAGCCTTTCGCCCTCTGAGTGGCCTGGACTGTCTGGGGCCTCTAGCATGGTTCCCACACTCTACATAAGGAAGGGGCTTCACATTTGGGATATGGCAAGGTGGAGGTGGTTATAATTCTCTTCATGTATTCTATCTGAGTACTAGATGTTGAAAAGTTATTTATTTTGGTTTTATGAAAAAAGGAATTTACATAATTTATGGAATAGATTTAAAATATGTGTGTGTAACTTCCTAAAATTAGTTTCCATTAAGTAAGAATTTCCAAAATTTCTTTTTAGAAAGAACAGCTTTTTGTTATGCTAAATCTTTTATTTTTTTCTTTAGATTTTGAGAAGTATGCTGTACAGAGGTTCTGAAGTTATGCGCGAGGTTGCTTGGGTCATATTCGATGAAATTCATTACATGAGAGATTCAGGTATACTCTGCTGTGGTGTTGAGATGTGTGTGCCATGTGTTTTCCTTAAGAATGGGATTAAGAATTTTGCTTTGGAAAAGCTTCTGGGTTGGAGAACATGGGGAAAGTAGGGGAGGGAGGGCATGAAAACTCCATGCCCTGTCCCACACACCTTGTCCCGTGTATTCCATCTGGCTATTCATGTGTATCCATTATTGTAAACCGGTAAACCTGAAAAGAAAATTGCTTTGATATTTCATGGGCTAGAGGTCTAGTAAACTAAATTTTTGGACAACATAATGTAATATTTCCAGTGGGATCTCATTTACCTATAGCTTTTTAAATAGTAACTTTTTCTGAGTAAGAAAATGCAAATTCAAATAAAACAAATGAAATTCAATTCAAACTAGCTTGCTTTTCAAATATAGAGCTCTCTAGTTAATGTTAAATTCTAGCCAGAAAATTCTTTCTCGATTTTTTAAATTCTTTTCATTTTTTAAAATAAAATTAAGAAATATGTTTATGGTACAAAATTGGGATTATGAAATAAAAATGATTAAAAGGAAACAATTATAAATATCCCTTGAACTATCACACTACTATATTGGAAAAGGAAGTACAGTTGGAGTTTTGGATGGAACTGAGAGGGTTAATGTTAAACATTTAAAAGTTAAATGTTTAATATGTACACACCTAACACTTGGTTATTAGTTAATCTAAAGCACTGGGTTGACCTGTACTTACATTGAAAATGAAACAATTGAAGAAATCATGTACCCTTTGAACATTTTACCCTTTACAAGTCATAGGCTTACGTTCTAAACAAAGTTGTTTTGGCTTTAAAATCATGAATGCTGTGTTTATTTGTTTATTTTAGGGGGAAACTCTCAAACTGATTTTCCTGGCTTTTTCCGTTTTAATAAAAACTGACTTAGAGTTTGCTGTCCATTATATCTGTCTTTTATCTCTAGAGATCATGGGTCATTTTGATGAAAGATGCCTATGGTGTGGTAATGGTGTTCTTTGAGATTTGTTGCTGTAACTTTCTACAAGCCATTAAATTTTCCTTCCCAAAGTGAGATGGAGATGGTATTTCCTCTGTCATGGGAATCGCGTTAGGCTGTTTGAAAAGGTGCAGCCTGAAGCTGCCCTTCCCAGCTCATTTCAGTGACCCTTGTGTAACGTGGTTTGGCCTGCTCTCTGCTGGATAAATCACGGTGCGCACGGAAGCAGTTGTCAGTAAGGGTCTGGTCAAAAGCATCCTGTGTAGAGTGGCCTGCGTTCTGCTTTTTGAGCTCGGGAGAAGATAGCTTTAGACTCTTGTCAGTAAAGTGACACTGAAATGCAGGGTGTATCTGCTTTTTTCAGAGCGTGGTGTGGTGTGGGAAGAAACTATCATTCTGCTTCCTGATAATGTCCACTATGTCTTTCTCTCGGCGACTATTCCAAATGCCCGGCAGTTTGCTGAATGGATTTGCCATTTACATAAGCAGGTACTTTCTTTTTTTAATGTCCTCAGTATTTAGGATGTTATAAGCCAGCCTGTGTCCTGTCCTTTGTTCTTAATGCCACCCAAATAAAGAAACTGCTCAAATCAAGCAAGCTTATTCAAAACGAACTGACTTAGCTTTTTATAAGTGTGCATTCCTGAGTCCCATCTCGGACCCAGTATGTCAGTCAATGGGAGGAGGGTCTTGGAAGCTCCGCCTTCACAAGCTCCCAGGTTGATCCTTATGATCTGCAGATTTGGAAATACTGGCATTTTGTCGTACAGTGAGCCAGGGGGCACAACTTCCTCCATGACCTTGGTGCCAGGAGAAGGCTGGGCGTGTCCAGAGCATGTGCTGCCTCTCCTGTACACACAGTCAGACTTTTGACTTAGTCCTTTTGCTTTTCTAGTCCAACTAGCAGTGGCATAGGACCTTATAACAGGCATTTGTCCTGTGTCATAAACTTGCTCTTGGTTTAATTCTCCTGCCCTTATTTTTCCTTAAAATCTGTCATTTTGTGGCACTCATGTCGCTTCTGTAGGATAGAAACCCAGGGGTGTTCAGAGGAGCTTCGTCAACCTGCTGCTCTGCTGAGGCTCCCAGGGCTCCCAGGGCGGGGTGGGTGGGCAGAAAGGCCCCAGGACACCTCGGGAGCACTCAGTGTGACCACAGCCTGCTCTCCGGGAACAGGTGTTGGTGATGCTGGCAGCACGGGTCCAGGTGCCGATCCGAGGTCATTGTCGAAGCTGAAACCGGGTATTTGGCCTTGAGTAGGAAATGAGTAAAATTGAACAGATGGTTGTATAATTTTGATCTAATTTTTCCACATTTTCCTCTTGCCTGGTTTTAAAGTGATATTTGTAATTTTGTTTTCTTTTTGACGTGTTCATGTCCCTAAGGTCAGATGCGTGGTGTTATTACTGGAGAACTAGAGTGCTGCGTGTAATTGTGTTCCCTTCTCTCTGCAGCCTTGCCATGTGATTTACACGGACTACCGGCCTACTCCGCTGCAGCACTACATCTTCCCGGCGGGGGGAGACGGCCTGCACCTTGTGGTTGATGAGAACGTAAGGGGCGGCGGGCACTTGGTGCCCGTAATTCTTCTAGAGAAGAATTGTTGGAGACCCTTTTTCCTTAAATCGTTTCACAGTCCGAAGTTATTGTTGGCTTTGTGTGCTCTGTGTGTGTGTGCTCTCAAACATGTTACTTAAGACTTGTGTTTCTCTTGTGCACAGTTGCATCTCCCTCCTTCTCCAGTGTTTAAAATGCTTGGAGAATAGGGACGCTGGACATGTTTCCAGTATCTTACGTTTTGCCTCTCCCAGTTTTAATACCTCTATTACCTTTTATTACCTCTCAGCTCACATTTTGAACTATTCTCATGGCCTTTGTTATAACTATTAATTACTAAGTTATTTTTATTTGAGGAAGCTTTGCTTTGAGTGTGAAAGATGTTTAGATTATGATTGAATGTTAGTGAAGAAACATAGAAAAACATCTGATTCCAGGGTGACTTCCGAGAAGATAACTTCAACACCGCAATGCAAGTTCTCCGCGAGGCAGGGGATCTGGCAAAAGGAGATCAGAAGGGTCGAAAAGGAGGGACAAAAGGTAATTTTGAACTTTGTTTTGAGATAATCTTACCTGTAAGTTGTAGTTTCAAATGACATTTAAAACTTTTTATTGAATGATTTTCCTCAGGAAGCTATGCAGTTCTGATAACATGATGAAAGTGAATGGGTAAAGGTCGGTTTCTTTTTCTACATGTCCTTTATGGAAATGTAATTCACATACTGTACAATTCACCCATTCAATTGTCCAGATTCAGTGGTTATTAGTATAGAGTTATGCAACCATCACAGCATTTTTTTATTGAAATGTAATTCACCTGCCACAATTGTCACCATTTTTAAGTGTTCAGTTCAGTTGGATTTCATTATATTCACAAAGTTATACACTTAAAATGTTCCAGAGCATGTCCATCAGCTCAGAAAGAAACCCCATACCCATTGGCAGCCCTTTCTCATTTCCCCTCAACCTCTTTCCCCTCCCTCATCCTTTGGTAATTTTTTTTCTTGGACGTTTCATATATGTGGTGTTTTGTAGTTGGCTGCTTTCACTTATGTTTTCAAGGTTCATCTATGTTATAGCATGTGTCAGTACTTCATTCCTTTTTATATTCAAGTAACATTCCATTGTTATCCATTGATAAGTTGATGAATACTTGGGTTGTTTCCACTTAAAATTTTTTTTTTTTTTTTAAGAGAGAGGGTGGGAAGGGGAGAGAGAGGAAGAGAGGAAAGGAGGGAGGGAGTGGGGTGGTAGAGAGAGATTGAGATTTGTTTTTCCACTTATTGATGCATTCATTGGTTGCTTCTTGTATATGCCCAGACCGGAGATCAAACTCACAGCCTTGGCATATCAGGATGCTGCTCTAACCAACTGAGCTTCTGGCCAGAGCTATTTCCGCTATTTGGTTTTTGTAAATGATGCTGCTATAATCATGTGTGCTCTTCGTTTTGTATGAACATGTTCTTTTTCGTGTACATCCCTAGGGATGGAATAGCTGAGTCACATGGTAATTGTTTGTTTAACCTGAGTGGCTCTCAGATTATTCTCCAAAGTGGCTGCACCATTTACATCTGAAGGGTATCGGGTTTCCATGTCTTCTACAAACTTGCCGCTCTGCGGGTCTATTGGATTAGAGTCGTCCTAGTGGTATGCGGTGGTATCTGACTCACACTTCCGTTGTAGCCAGTGGTGCTGAGTATGTTTCCATGTGCTCATTGGCCGCATGTATATCTTCTTTGGAGAAATATCTATTCAAATTCTTTACCCATTTTAAAATTATATTGTCCTTTTGTTGTTGAATTGTAAGAATTCTTTATATGTTCTGATACTAGACCCTTAGATCAGATAGATGATTTGCAAATATTTTCTCCCTTTCTTTGGGCAAGGGTTGTCTTTTCACTTTATTGTTGGTGTCTGTAAAGTATAAAAGTATTAATTTTGATGAAATCCACTTATCTGTTATTTTCTTTTGTTGCTTGTACTTTTGGTATATCCAAGAATGCCTTGCATAACCCCAAATCATGATGATTCACTCCTATATGTTTTTTAAAAATACATTTTTATTGATTTTGAGAGAGAGGAAGGGAAAAGGATAGAGAGACAGAGACATTGATGAGAGGGAAACCTTAATCAGCTGCCTCCTGTACGTCCCCTACTGAGGATCAAGCCCGCAACCCGGGCATGCACCCTGACCAGGAATTGAGCCCCTGATCTCTTGGTTCCTGGATCGACTTTCAACTGCTTAGTCATGGGCCGGGCTACTCCTATATGTTTTTAAAGAGTTTTATAGTGTTAGTTCTTATGTTTGGGTCTATGATCCATCTTGAGTTAATTTTTGGATTTGGTTTTATATACTCTTTTTGCAGGACCATCAAATGTGTTCAAGATTGTGAAGATGATTATGGAAAGAAATTTTCAACCTGTAATTATTTTCAGTTTCAGTAAGAAAGATTGTGAAGCCTATGCACTTCAAATGACCAAATTAGATTTCAACACAGGTACTGTGTGATTTCAGCGTAGTTTTAATGTTAGTGAAAGGAATGTAAACACATCCCTGCCAAGGCATTGCATGCTGTATGTGGCGAGGATCTGCAGCTCACCTTGCAGTTCCAGCAGCAGGTGCTCAGCACATTTGTAGAGGCGGTAGGAGGGGATTGATCACATCTCTCCTCCTCTGTCTTCTTTGGTGGGAGGTGTAAGTACGTTGCTCTGTGCAATCCCAAGGTCCCTGCTGCATAGCATAGCCTGTGCCTCTGCTTCCTGCACAGCCCCAGGCGGTGCGGCCTCTGGCCTCTGTCCGACTGCGCGGGTGTTCTCCTCCCAGGCCTCCTCCTGTGGAAGGCCCTGTGCTCTCCCTTCTGGAACTCCCAGCCGGAGCTACCTGACCTAAGTACCTTTTGAGTAAAGTAAGAGTACTTCTAGCAAGTTCATGTTCTTCTCATACATTAGCTGTGCATGGAACTCGCTTGAAGTCACATAGCTAGGTAGTAGCATAACCTCGCCAAAAACGGTCGTGTGCTGAAAACCAGCCCACTTATAATTCAGTTCTGCCTTTACTTACGTACTCCTGTACCGTGAGAAGTTCTTCACTCATCCAACATTGAATTTCAGGTGTTTTGTTTCCAAGACAGAAATAAACCCACCCACATTAAAGCTAGTTTTTACTTCTCCATGGGCCAAAGTAACAAAGGAGAGATAACTAACCTCTTGAAACCAATACAGCAGGTCCTCCAGTAACGTTTTATTCAACATCTTTTTGTTATAATGTCAGTGAGATGCTGGAGGAACTTGTCTTGCTTATGTCAGTTAGCCTGTGGTAAAATTGGTCTCATTAGACATCATTTCACTTAGGACCTCTCGACTCTTAATGTGAGAATTTACTGTATTTCTTGTTTTGACTGAGTGAATTGCTCTGCTGAGACGTTTTCTTATAACTACGAGTGTTGAGTCTACTCAGTGTTGCAGTGTTAATATTGATTAGTTCACCCAGTACTTATTGACTGCCTGCTATGTAACAGACTGCACAAGCAGGCAGTGTCGTGGGTAAGTGCAGAGGCTTTGAGTTGCTGCTCGAACAGCTAAGAGCAGCAGCCATGGTTCGCTCTAACCCCCTTTCCTCAGTGGTGGATAGCGAGAGCCCGAGACCTGTGATTTTTGGACTTGAACCCCGTATGCAGAGCAGTTAGCACAGTTAGCCACTATTTTTATATGGTAGTACTTTTATTCACAGATTAGGTCTGTTATGTATGTTTTGAAAAGGTAGTGAACTTTATTAAATAATTACAGTCATTTTAATCTACTTTCCCTGCTGACAATCTAAAGTACTGTTTTTACTCTTTATAGACTCTCGCTCTCTGCATGTTAGAAGTGGGTGTCGCTGACTCAGTAAGATACTTATGTGCCTCTGGGTGTTCTCTCTTAGATGAAGAAAAGAAGATGGTGGAAGAAGTATTCAGTAATGCGATTGACTGCTTGTCGGATGAAGATAAAAAGCTCCCTCAGGTTCGTGTTTGATAGCAGTGAGTTATGGCTGTGAGTAGGTGGCATGAGTTCACTCTTCGGTTCTTAGTTGTGTTGCTGTATTGTAACGTTTGCCCCTGCAGGGGATACGTTGTGTCATGCACTGAAATGGTGTCTTGACTTATTTTAAGCTTCTGAAAAGGTGGGGAGAGGAAAGACGTGCTGCCTGAGGCTCTCTTTTCTGAACGTGCTCATGGTCTGAGCTGCTGCTTGTTCCTAACATGCCAGGTATAAGTCTTCAGATATGTAAGGCTATGGCAGCTCCCGAGAGAGTCTGATGTGCATCCAACCTGAGCTACTCTGTCCAGCCTAACCTTTCAAAGACCGTGTGAGAAGCTGGAAGGTCGTCCTCTGCTTACGAATGGTTGCTTTCACGTACATGGGTTTATAAGACTACAAAAGCATATTGGTGTATATTAGAGAGACAAACAGAAACATTGATTTGTTCCACTTATTCACGCATTCATTGGTTGATCCTTATATGTGCTCTGACCAGGGATCAAACCCGCAACCATGGCGTATCGGGATGATGCTCTAACCAACTGAGCTACCTGGCCAGGCCAATGTATTGCTATTTAAAAGAATATTTAACTTATAATTTTTTTTTTTTTGTAGTTTTTCTTCCCAGCTGAATGGTTAGTAGAGAAGGGATGAGCCATGTCTTCATGTATTTTGTAACCCTAGCACACTTATTAAATAGTGGACCTTAAATGGCATTGGTATAGTGTTGATGAGAATGACCTCTTTGGCACCTCACTTCCTTTTAGAGGAAGTACATATATTATGCTAAACGTGTTATAGTTACTTAATTCTTTTTTTTAAAGAATTTTGTGAGTTTATTTGAGCCAAACTGTCGACAATTGCCAGGAAGCAGAACCTCAACGGATTGAGATAATGCTCCCTACTTAATTCTTTTTGGTCTGAGTTGGCTAGTATTTAAGTTTATTTTGTGCAGACACTAACTTTTTCCTCATAAACTTTAATTTTTTGGAGGAGATAAAGTGATGCTGTACATTTGAATGAGGTAGCAAAGCATTTATAAAGTTTATTTAAAACATGCCTTTCAGACTTTTTCATAAGCTGTTTTCATACAGGAAGCCTGATAGAGTTGCTTATGTTTTGGGTTTGGTCAGGGGATACAGGTTTAGTTTCTGCTTTTATTCTGTAACGCTTATGTGATGTCTCTTTAAACAGCATTCTTTCTTGATTACCCGTTTTCCTTAATTAGTTGCTTTAGGGTTTTTAATTTCCCTCTTCCTCACATTGTTAAATAAATATTCCACTCGCAGGTTGAACATGTGCTTCCTCTTTTGAAGCGGGGGATTGGCATCCACCACGGTGGCTTACTTCCTATTTTGAAAGAAACGATAGAAATCCTCTTTTCTGAAGGATTGATAAAGGTATGATTTCATGTTTGTTTATTACGCCCGAGAATTATTGTGTGAACAGTTTGGCTATATTGTTTTGTTGTTTGAACTGGGTAACACAGTGTAGCTGAGGGATGCACTTGATTTCTATAGTTACACAGGCCGCCTGCTGTCCAGAAGTAGGGCGCTGCTAGGAAGCCTTTCATCAGCTGAAAGGGCATAACTTGAAGAAACATTTACGTTAATTTATATGGAAAATTACTGTGGGTTCCCAGACCCAAGATTCAGTACACTCATTGCCACCAAAACGCTTTATTTCATTGCCACCAAAATGCTTCCTTGCACCCGGGTTTATACCAAGCGCAGCACGCTTACGGGCTTGTGGGCTTTTCTGATTCCTTAGGACACGTCTTGCTGACCCGTGCACAGTCAGTCATGGTAAAGCGCAGGTGCTCCCAGATGCAGCTCAGAACTGCGGCTGATGTGGAGGTGGTTCCTGGGGAAGGAGCTACAGGGCACCTCGCCGTGCAGTGCACCAGCCTCTAACGGCTGCTGCCAAACACGCAGACCCTGCTTTTGCCTTTTGCCTTTTTTGGTAAAAGCAAAAATCCTCTTTGTTTTTTTTTTGCTTCGCAAAACAGCTGCTAATGTAGGACTTTTGTAAAAGCAAAGTGGCAGGTGTGAAGTTTCAAACGTGGGAGGTGTGCGTGTACTTCATGAATTTGGGCTATAGGTAAAGTCATTTGTACCGTTTATTTTCAGTAAGAAATGCTAACACGATCGGTACAGCGTGGCATTTTGTCAAAGGTGCTATTGAATTGTCAGACCTGCAGCTGATTCTGCAGGTGAACTCCCTTCTGTATACAAATGTAAAAGACTAGAGAAGACGGGAGAATTGCAGGTAGACTTACAGATGATATTCTGATTTAAACCAGGCAGTCTGATTTAATATTTAAAATTATTGGTATCTATATCCAGAAATGGGATGTTAAAAATGGAATACAACTTTAAAATGTAGTCATCAGCCTATATATGACTCAAATTGTTTTGTTTAAAAATTAGATTAGAAATTTATCATGAGAATTTCACCGCTGTGTAGACTATTTGAAAGAAGTTTATTCATCCTAAAGCAGCGGTTGCCAACTGGAGGTTGGTGGACCACTGGTGGTGCGTGAGGTCCAAAAGGTTGGCGACCGCTGTCCTAAAGAACATACAAGAGGTATTTTAAGTGAAGAATTGGTCACTATTTATCCCTGGGTCTTGTTCAGGCTCTGAGCCATTTTAAAGTCTCTTTTAAGAAAGCATAAGTGATACTTGTTGGTTGTAAAGTTTAAATAGAACAATCGTGCATAAAGTAAAATGAAAGGCCATCATTCCCCTCATGTCCTGGACATTTCCATGAGCACTCACGCAAATAACACATGCTTTATTTTTTAAACAAAAGTGATTGTACTACCCACGTTATGTAATTTTGTCACATGCATAGCTCTTCATCTTTTTAGAGATGAGTAGCATTCTGCTGAGTTGATGAAATAAAGTATTTTTATCCTCTTCCCTCTTGATGAATAATTGTATAATTATTCACTAAATTAGGCGTTGTTTGCGACGGAGACCTTTGCCATGGGGATTAACATGCCGGCTAGGACAGTTTTATTTACAAATGCCCGGAAATTTGATGGGAAAGACTTTCGATGGGTAAGTAAAGTTGATTCCGATATTGAAATAACTTTTACCTTTGTTTTACTTAAGGTGGTTTTGGCTCATGCAATCTTAGAGACGTTTAGTTCTAAATACTCTTGAACTTGTACCTGAGCTAATACGTACAACAAGCTTATCAAGGTTAAGCTTCAGATCCTTTACATTTCTATCCTTTAGCCAAAAAGCAAACAAACAAAAAAAACCTTTCAGTGAAAAAGTTTGAGAGGGATAAGCGGGCAGATGATTCGGGAATGCTTTAAATCACTGTAAATACACTGATTTTCATTTCCTCACTTTAAGGTATTCGAAGCACCTAGCCCTCTCACTAGGTTGTTCTTGGTGATGAATGGACTCTACCTAACTCCAAGGACTTACACTGTGAAAGTTAGAAATAACTGTGCTTCTTTAAAACTAAGGTTAATTTTATACTAATCTCATGTACATCAAGAAAATTTATGATTGGGTTAGGATTTAGTAGTTTGGTCATTGTCTGCTTTTTTAGACTACTGTTTTTCAGAATATCTAACTTAAAGATTTTTTTATGCCAGTGAATTAGCTGATATTTCCCGGTAGGTATGGATTTGATCATTTTGCAGCTAAAATTTAAATGTTACTCTTAAGTGTTTTGCAGTTTTGTGTTTTCATTTACACTCTCTGAAAAGTTCATGTTTTTAATCATGGGTTTTGGGGGGTTTTTTGGAGTATGTAACTTGTACTTGTGTATTTTATAAGAAAAAAAAAAGTAAGACTATGTTTTTTACCAGGTTCTCTCCTAAACTTAGAACTTTTCTTATGTCTGTTCAGATTTCTTCCGGTGAATACATTCAGATGTCTGGTCGTGCCGGAAGGAGGGGCATGGATGACAGAGGAATCGTGATTCTTATGGTTGACGAAAAGATGAGCCCAACTATTGGGAAGCAACTGCTTAAGGTAACAGAGTTAAGATTCTGCACCTGCAGCAGGAATTTGAGAAAAATACCTCAGGAGCAACTCTGAAATTAGTTTTGTCAGTTCAGATATCTTTCTAAGGAGATGAATTGATTTACAAAACTGCCTGGGCTGGGGGAGGGAGCAGAGGGTAAGTGCTCCAAGTGCTGGTATTTTGTCTCCTACTTTCTGTTCTAATCGGTAACGAGCGGCTCATGGTGTGGAGGGATGTGATGATCCTCAGTGAAGGTGAAAGCACTCACTTTCCCTTCAAATTTAAGGTGACCTTGACATCTCCCTCCATTGCAGGAGTTGCTCTCCCTACCCAAACAGGAAGTGAGGCCCATGATGTCAGGGTTTGCGCAGTTACTTGCCTCTACCTTTGCAAGCCCAGGTAGCTGAATAAATTAATTCTACAATCTACCATCCTGTTTTAGCCTATTGATAGATTATAAATATCCCAAAACTAATTTTTAAATTTTAAGCTTTATTTCAGATGATCCTGTTCATTTTGCTTGTGTAGTGTTTGTGTTTTAGATTGTTTAAGATGTTTTATTTTGAAGAGCTTCTCAAGGAAGTTCAACCTGGTTGCTTTCCTTGTCCTCCACATTCTTAAATCCCTAGAGCAAACTATTGATAAGATAGGAAACTTACCATTAATTAAAAATATAAAATTAACTGCCAGCTCATGAGCTATTTATTTATTTTAAATATATTTTTTTACAGAGAGGAAGGGAGAGGGATAGAGAGTTAGAAACATCGATGAGAGAGAAACATCGATCAGCTGCCTCCTGCACCACTCCCTACTGGGGATGTGCCCGTAACCAAGGTACATGCCCTTGGCCGGAACCAAACCCAGGACCCTTGAGTCCACAGGCCAGTGCTCTATCCACTGAGCCAAACCGGCTGGGGCTCATGAGGTATTTAAACTAAAGGTGAAACAAACGAAGGGGTTGGAAAGTGCAGATTGGTAGCTATAGAATGGTCACAGGGATGGAAAGGACAGCATGGAGAATATAGTCAGTAATATTGTGATAACTGTGAATGGGGCCAGGTGGGTACTTGAAACTTCAGGGGGACCACTTTTTAACTAAAGTCATGTGATTGTCTAACCACTATGCTGTACACCTGAAACTAGATGATAAAAGGCTAATATGCAAATTGTCCCCTCGGGAGTTTGACCACTCGCTCTGACATGCGCTGAACACCAGGGGGCAGTGTGGAATGAAGGAAGGCCCCCAGCGGGGGGAAGGAAGGCCCTGATCACCTGCCAGGCCTAGGGACTCTACCCCTGCACGAATTTTGTGCACCAGGCCTCTAGTATAAAATAATATTGAATGTGAACTGTAATTTAAAACTAAAATTTTAAAACAAAATTAAAGCTTCAAAATACGTTAAGACATACATAGGTCAGTATATTAGATTTTATTGCTTTTTTAATCCTCACCTGAGAATATGTTTTTATTGATTTTTTTTTTGAGAAAGAAACACTGATGTGAGAGAAACATTGATCGGTTGCCTCCTGTGTGCACCTTGACTGGGGATTGAGCCTGCAACCTAGGTATGTGCACTGTCTGGGAATCGAACCTGCAACCTTTTTGTGTGTGGGATGATGCTCCAACCAATTGAGCCACCTGGTCAGAGCTCATTAAAATTTTTATTTTATTTTTAAATTTTATCGTGGAAGGAACACAACATGAGATTAACCCTCTTCACAACACGTTGTTGACTACAGGTGCTGTGTTACACAGCAGGGCTCTAGAGCTTGCTCATCTTGTTGGGCTGAAACGCTTTCCAGGAAAACGTAATACACTTCTGTAGCGTTCCTTCACATAGAGTTAAATTATGAAGCAACCTACCAGGTGAAAACTATTGGTGTGAGTTTATTTGAGTAACCTACAATAGTGACATGTTCACTCCTCTCAGGGCTCAGCCGACCCCCTGAATAGCGCTTTCCATTTAACCTACAACATGGTTCTGAACTTGCTGCGTGTGGAAGAAATCAATCCCGAGTACATGCTGGAGAAGTCCTTCTACCAGTTTCAGCATTACAGAGCCATTCCCGGGGTGGTGGAGAGTAAGTACAACCGCTCATGGCTTCGCGGCTGGGCTCCTGCCTGGGTGCTGCTTGACCCTGGGGCTTTCTGTGAGCCAGGTCTGAGTCCTGTCATGCAGAAAGGTCACAACTGCAGCCAGTCCTCATCGCCGACCAGACGTTTCACAGGGAAGGAAGAAAACCCTGTCAGGACACTTCTCTGTGGCTGATTCTAATGTAGGTCTTAATGAAAGCCTTGGAAATTAAGGAAAGAGGAAATGATTACGATCTAGCATAACTTCTAGCTGGGCTCAGATTGTTGGTCATGACTTGACCAAGAGTCTGCTACCTGTTCTGTGAACTTAAACATTGCCACCACTTCTCCATCTGCTGTCTGTCTCCCCAAGCCCCATGGGAAGGGAGCACCTGTTTCCAGTGTGGCTCTGACTAGTGTTGCTCCTGTGCCCTGGATACTTCTCAGTTGAATTATCCCTGCATTTCCCTCTTGTTTTAAAGGAGCAGGTCTTGTTATTCTAACACTTTGAAACCAATAAACAAAAGACTGAGTATCCAAAGTATAATGGGCTTTTTAGTGGAGGAAGTAGGAGTTTAGGTGATGAGACAGGAGAGGGAATTGATGAAGGAATTGCAGCACCTTCAGTGCAGTTTCCAGGCTGCCTGGAGTGAACAGGGAGCAGGAGATGGGGCAGGGGAGCTCTGTGCTGCTGCTTCACTGCAGAGCAGTTTGGTGCAGTTGGCCCCTCGTTACCAGGAAGGTGTAGCTCCTTTTTGCTGTTGATGCTGCTGGAACCTTAAACATAGCACAGCCAGGATATAGACTGTTGTAATTCAGCTTTATTTTAGAAACTAGAGGCCCAGTGCACAAAATTCGTGCGCTGGGCGGGCGGGGCGGGGGGGCCCTCAGCCCAGCCTACCCCTCTCACAGTCCAGGAGCCCTCAGGGGATGTCCTGACAGCTTAGGACAGCTCCCCGTGGGGAACAGGCCTAAGCCGCAGTCGGGCGGCAGAGGCTGGGAGCAGGCACCCCGTGTGTGTGTGTGTGTGTGTATGTGTGTGTGTGTGTATGTGTGTATGTGTATGTCCACTGGGGCCCTCCCCCCAGCCGCACCGCAGAGGTTCAGAGCAGGTGCCCCTCTGTGTTGATCTCAGGCTCCAGGCCGTGCCTGCGTGTTGTTCTCTCAGGCTTGGGGCCGTGCCTGGCCCCGCCTGCTGAGCTGATTGTGACCGTTACAGAGTCCCAACCTCATTTGCATATTACTTCTTTTTTCTAATATATATATATTTATATATGTGTGTGTGTGTATATATATGTATATATATACATACATACATACATACATACATACATACATACTAGAGGCCTGGTGCACAAAAATTTGTGCACTCGGGGGTAGGGAGTCCCTCAGCCCGGCCTGTGCACTCTCGCAGTCTGGGACCCCTCTGGGGTGACCACTTGCTGGCTTAGGCCTGCTCCCTGGGGGATTGGGCCTAAGCTGGCAATCAGACATCCCTCTGGCAGCCCGGCAGCCCTTGGGGGATGCCCACTTGCCAGCAGGGAGCAGACCTAAGCTGCAGCCACACATCCTTAGCACTGCTGAGGAGGCAGGAGAGGCTCCCACCACCACCGCTGTACTGGCAGCCATCACCCTGGCTTGTGGCTGAGCAGAGCTCCTCCTTGTGAGAGCGCACTGACCACCAGAGGGCAGCTCCTGCATTGAGCGTCTGCCCCCTGGTGGTCAGTGTGTGTCATAGTGACCAGTCATTCCCAGTCTTTCTGCTGTTAGGGTCAGTTTGCATATTACCCTTTTACTATATAGGATAGAGGCCTGGTGCACGGGTGGGGGCTGGCTGGTTTGCCCTGAAGGGTGATCTGGATTAGGGTGGGGGTCTCGCTTGGGTGCCTGGCCAGCCTGGATGACGGGCTGATGGCTGTTTGTAGCTGGTCACACCCCCTTCAGGGTGGCAGTCCCCACTGGGGTGCCTGGCCAGTCTGGGTGAGGGGCTGAGGGCCGTTTTCAGGCTGGCGGGCAACTGAAGCTCCCAGCCTCTTTTTTTCTTTTCTTTTTTTTTTTTTATTCTGGGATTTATTTACCTTCCATAGCTGTCACTGGAGCTGAGAGCTGGCTCCAGCTCTGAGGCCGCAGCTGGCTGAAAGCAGGTATCTGGGTTTGTTTAGCTTCTAGAATTGAAACTCTGTTGCCATCACTGGTGCTCTAAGCTCTGAGCCCGCTGGCGGCTGAAAGCATGTACCTGGGGTTTGTTTAGCTTCTATAATTGCAACATTGTTGCATCTGGAGCTCAGAGCTGGGCCGCAGCAGGCGGGGAACCTTGGCTTCCTCCATCACTGGAGCAAGCAAGCATCCTGTTCACTTCAGCTGCGTGGCTGCCGGTCGCCATCTTTGTTGTCAGTTAATTTGCATATCCTGCTGATTAGCCAATGGGAAGCATAACAGAGATATGGTTAATTACCATGTTTGTCTATTATTAGATAGGATACACACACACACATAGATAGATAGATAGATAGATAGATAGATACAGTGGTGCTTTTTTGTTTTTGATTGTTTTAATAAGAAACTGGGAAGGCTGGCTACATGAGATGTTTTCATTTACTAAGTCCACAATAGATTTCTTAGTGAGCCATAAGAGTAGAACTTCCAGGATTGTATTGTCTGTTTACTGGAGAGCAAATGCAGACCTACTCTTAATTTTTTTGTTTGGTTTCATTCATAGGTAATGCCTTAATTAATACAATGGCAAGGGCTATGGAGTTACATATGGGACTACTTGAACCTTGGTTTGCACTGTGGGGAGAGCAGCTGCTCATGCTGTGTCCCTCTGCTCTTTGATTGGGAGTGGGCTATAGCTGTAGTTAGAGTCCTAGATACAAACCACAGGTGACTTACAGTCTCTCAGGCTTCTGACTCATTAGCACAGTGTGATTTGGAGTGGAGGGTGGGGACAGTGTTTAAGCAGAAATCCATGCATCTGTGGGCAGTTGATTTTTCACAAACGCTGCATGGACAACAGGACAGCCAAGTGCAAAAGAATGAAGTTGGATCCTTACCTCACACCGTACATAAAAATTAACTGAAATTGATGACAGTCCTAAATATAAGAGCTGAAACCATAAGACTCTTAGAAGAAAGCATAGGCATAAATCTTCATAACCTTGGATTTGGCAGTTGTTTTCTAGAGAATACACCAAAAAGACAATCAGCAAAAGAAAATAAATTTTATTTAATCAAAATTAAAAACTTACACTTCAGTAGACACCAACAGTAAAGTGAAAAGAAAACCCACAGACTGGGAGGAAATATTTCCAAATCACATACGGATCGAGTATCAGGAATATATAAAGAATTCTTAAAACTCAACAACAAAAGTGTAATTTAAATGGGCAAAGGGTTTGGATGGACATTTCTCTAAAGAAGATAAGTAGTTTCCCACAAACATGTGAAAAGATGCTCTACATCATGAGTTATTAGGGAAATGCAAATGGTAACCACACAGATACCACCTCACACCCCTTAGGATTGTTGTTTTTAAAAAGGTAGTTACCAAAATGGTGGGGTTGTGTGGGAAATAGTGTAGCACTTCCACAGCAGGTTTAATGGCAGAATTACCATAAGACCCAACAGTTTCACTCCTGGTACATAACCTAAAGAATGGGAAGTGTGTTCCAACGACGCATGTTTGTCTGCAGACATGTTTATAGTAGCACTGTTTACAGCCAAAGGGTGGAAGTAATTTAAATGTTCATCAGCTGGTAAGAGGGTAAGTAAAATGGTCCCCCCATGCACTGGAATATTACTCAGCCAAGAAGGAAGCACCAGGAGAGGCCCCAACATCAACGACATCAGGCTGCATGTTGTTTGATGTAATAAGTATGAACTGTCCAGAACAGGAGAATCCATGCAGACGGAAAGCAGACAGAAAGGCACCGGGCCTGGGGAGGAAGGGATGAGGTGTGTTCTGGATGGGGTGGGTTTCCTCTTGCAGTAGGTGAACTAGAGGGTGGGGTGGTTGCATACATTGTGGGTGTGCAGTTTCTACATGGTACATGCGTTTATTTACAGAGGTGCGGAACTCGGAAGAACAATATAATAAAATAGTGATACCCAATGAAGAAAGCGTGGTCATCTATTACAAGATCAGGCAGCAGCTTGCCAAGCTGGGTAAAGAAATTGAAGAATATATTCACAAACCAAAATATTGCTTACCATTTCTACAACCAGGTCGTTTGGTAAAGGTATGTTACTTTTTAAAAAATGTTTAGATATTTTAATATTGGATAATTTTCGAATAGCTATTCTATTTCTTTATATTGATAAAATGCTTTCTGCTACAGCAGTTGATCTATAGTAATTATATGGTTTTATTGGTTTCACATGGCTCTGCTTAAGGGGGGTCATTAATCAGATTTTATTTTAGAGGATATAAATTGAGGTAGACAGTGTTCAATTATAAAATCTATACTAATAAAAGGGTAATATACTAATTAGACCGGGAGACCTTCCAAGAGACCTTCTGGACAAAGCCATGGTGGCGGGGCCAAGGCAGAGGCAGTTAGGGGCAATCAGGTCAGGAGGGGAGGGCAGTTGGGGGTGATCAGGCCGGTGGGGGGTAAGGGGCAGTTGGGGGTGAGCAGACCGGCAGGGGTGGGTAGTGGGGGACGAGCAGGCTGGCAGGCAGAGTGGTTAGGGGTGATCAGGCAGGCAGATAGGTGAGCAGTTAGGAGCCAGTGGTCCCAGATTGCGAAAGGGATGTCCGACTGCTGGTTTAGTTGGACATCTCCCAAGGGGTCCCAGATTGGAGAAGGTGCAGGCTGGGCTGAGGGGCGCACACACACACACACACACACACACACCCACCCCATGCATGAATTTTGTGCACTGGGCCACTAGTCTAAAAAATAAAGGCAGTTTTATGTAGGATGAATTTATTAATTATAAAACATGAAAGACTTTAGATTTCTCAGAACAAATACACCATGTTATCACTTGTTGACATTTGTTTGCCGATTGAGAGATTCTTGTCATTGGTGTTCCAGAGACTTATGGAATAGGCAGTGATTTTTTTTCTGTAGAGTTAATATCTTTTTCCATAAGTTTAACAGTGATCTCTCAAACAATACTTCATCAGGAAGACTCAGTTTTGTTAGCCTGTAATGTGGGTATGGGTTAAAATTGCCTTTTGGACACAAATGTCCTTGTTTATGTGCTTTACTTTCTTTTTAGGTAAAGAATGAAGGAGATGATTTTGGCTGGGGAGTAGTCGTGAATTTCTCCAAAAAGTCAAATGTTAAGGTAAACTATTTGTTCCTAAAATAGAATTTTATATAAATTGTTAATGAAATGTTTTTTTCAGACTCACGAAATTGATCAAAGATGAGAAAGGATTATCTTAAGAGAAGATGTAATAAATACTGCCATAGAAAATAATTTTTTGAATAATCTTAAATGTCATGCTTAAAATGGCATGGGTTTATTTTCCTAACAACAACAACGGATTTTAATTTCATGATAATTTATATTTCTCCTCTGAGCTCATCAGTGCCAAGGACACTGTCCCTGGACGCGTGCAGGTCAGTGTCTCAGAGTGAATGACCTTCTCTGCTCTTCCAGCCCAACTCCGGGGAGCTCGACCCGCTGTATGTGGTGGAAGTGCTTCTGCGCTGCAGCCGAGAAAGCTTGAAAAACTCCGCTACGGAGGCTGCAAAGCCGGCCAAGCCCGAGGAGAAGGGGGAGATGCAGGTGTGTGCTTAGCTTTCATCTTGGGGCACAGAGACCCTGTGAATTATTGTAATCACTAGAGTTCCTGAAACTATCTAAATATCAGTAAAATGAGTGATGAGATTTAAGCTCTTTTTCTTTTATCAAATTATGTCAAGGTTAATAGTGACAAAGGAAAAGATTAAAAGAATTTAAAAATTTAAATTTTCTTAAAAGTTGGATTTTACCTTAGCTATAAAGAAGTCTTACTGTTATTTTTACCATCAAATAATTATGCAGTTTTACTTTATCCATGTCATTTATTACATTCCTGGTAGAGGTGGACACTGCAGGCAGTATGTTCCTGCAGCTCTGTCCTGGTGGCTTTGCCAGCTGCAGGTGCACCTCCCACTGCCACTCGTCCCAGCCGCTCCATCACAGTCGAAGGAGACTCAGGGTCAGGAAATGAAGACCATAATAACTGTGAGGGCCAGACGAGTGGTTTCTGCTTCGTTTTCTCTTGGCAGGGCACGCCCAGAATCCTTCCGCATTCGGTAAAAGTACCCGTAAGGGACGCGGAATAGACGACCACAGACCGCACTGTACTCTTCGAGTTCCTGCCGTTCTCTCCTGTAGATCTTACAGACACTTCTGTCTCTCTCTCCCTCTCTCCCTCTCTCTCTCTCTCTCTCTCTCTCTCTCTGTCTCTCTCTCTCGGCATGACAGCTGCTTAAGAAGCAAGATACCCTGTAATAGTTGTGATGGAGTCAATCTAACAGTTTTATCACTTTTGAAGTTTGCATCAAAAGTGTACTATGACACATTAAAATCAGGTTTTTTTGTGATGAATTTTGAGCATTTTTAAAACAGCTGATTTAAAGTAGGAAGTCTAATGTCTGCCCTTCCTCAGGCACGGTTTCTATTGACTGCTATTTTCCTGGTGCGTGGACATAACTTCGTTGTTTCTTTACATGTCTTGTAATTTTTTTGCTGAAACTGCACATTTGAAAAATGGCAATAGATTCCCCTCTTCCCTTCCGCCCTGAGTTTCTTCTTGTTGCCAATTGTTGTTTGTTGGGTAGACTTTTCTGAATTAGTTGTGTGTTGTGCATGGCCACTGACATCTCTGCTTGGTTAGCTTAGTGGGTCAGCTAATAACTAGAGACTTCCGTGAGGCCTGGGACCCGCTGAGTGCACCAGTCTCTGATAGAGGTTCTGCGTGCACATTGCAGCACACCTGCAGGTCTCAGCCAGCGAGTGGGCAGCGCTGCCTGACCCTACTTCCTGTGTGCACAGCACAGTCTCAGGGTCAGCCAGCGGTAAATGCTAGGCCAAGTGCCTGTGGCCTCCTAGGTGCCCAGGGATGCGTCAGAACCTTTCAGATCCCCCTGTGGACAGTTTGCTCCTCAGCTTTATTTTAAGCTTTCTGTTTACCTTATTGCTTGATCTCATTGTTAATCATTGTCTTGGGAAGCCATGATGTTAAACAGTGGACTCTACTATTTTCAACAAAGGCCTCAGGGAAAAAGTTGTTGGCTCTGGGGGTACTGAGTCAGGTCAGATAAGACAGCCCTGTCAGTGGAGTCTCCTGGAGCCACCTGACGGGTGAGGTAGTGCCAGTCCTCTGGGGGCGGAGCTCGGAAGCACTCCCGCTCTGCTCCTGCCTTCCCGTGCCTGCCAGCGGTTTTCACTGTATTGCAGCTGTCGGTCCCCAAGGCTCCTGGGGACCAGGTGGGGTAAATTAAAATACCACAAAGCTCCCCTCGGACTCAAAGCCAGCCATTTGTTTTTGCTACATGCTACTTGGGTTGCTGTAAGCCTTTGGTTAACCTTCCACATTCTGGAGAGAAAACTAGATCAAGGCACTAATTCAATGTTTTAAAATACAAAAGTTAATGAAAACTACGTTCGTTTAAATAAGTTTGTTTTGACTCGATTAAAATTCAGTTGGTTCAAAAAGATCTTTCTTGAATAAAGAATTTAGAAATTGTGTTCTAGCTAACAGTCTTGATTTGAGGAATTGAAATTCATTTAGAATCTATTGACTTAAAACTTACTGACTTCTGATATTATCTTATTATGTGCTTATCTTAAAATAGATTAATGGCAAATTTGCAAAGATTAAAAAGGCCTAAGAATAAAAATGCTTTCTACTATTGGTATTCTAACAAGTTTCCAATAACTGCCTATGTGGTTGTTTGGATTTATATAGATGACTGCTGCACCATGATAAACCTGAATTCTAAGTTACTCTGTAAAGGTTATTAGGTTTAGAAAGTTGAATGAACTGTGCTATGCACATCTTATGATACGGTTTTAAATCACTTCGAGTGTAGAGATTTATAATACTGTGGGAGCTATTCAGTTGGTTTTTGAGCATTTAACTTCTTATTTACAAAACTTCAATTCAGTCTTAGGATCTCTCTGTCTGTACTCAAGCAGCATTAGAATTGGACAGTTTCTTTCTTCCTTCTGGTTCCTGTTTTTACAGAATAATCTTTATTCTGTTTCAAGGAGATTCTCAAGTCCGTGTGCATTCTGAATGCAGCTGCAGGTAGAGCGAGGGAGCTGTTTTCCTGCTGTGTGGGTCATGTGCACCCCTTGAGCTCAGTGCAGAAGAGCTGTCCTCTCCCTCTGGTGCTGGCTGTCTGGTGCTGTGGTGATTGTTTTTCACGTCCTGAGTCTTCTCTCCAGCCAGACAGCCCATCTGGGATTGACGAGGTTACACACTGGTGGTTGGAAGGCACATTCAGCCCACACAATGTCTTCTTTCAAAAATGTGACAGTTTGAGAATAAAATGATAGTAAAGATTATAATCAAATAAAAATAAAACAAGAATCTACAGGTTCATGTGAGATAAATAGATGGTGATGTTAAAAAGCCAACATCATACAACTACCACAGATAATAATGGACTCAGATAAGAATAATACACGGATACTAAAACTAAGGAGTTGAAAGCTTAACAAGGAATGGGATATTTACAAAGTGAATCTCTCCACACATTTCTTAGTAATTGTAAAGGGCAAAGTAATAATTTCTAAAATGTGGAAACGGAAGCTCAGGTTAGGTGACTTGCTCAAGGTCACACAACTAGCTGCAGACTGAATTCAAGCCCGGATACTCTGGACTCAAACCCACGCTTAACCACTCTCATTTGTTCAATAAAACCAAGATATTTATCACCAGCAGCCAGTGACAGTTGTTTGTCACTGATTGTGTGAAGGTAACCATAGGAGACCCAGACGAATTTGGACCTCGGTTCAGAGAGGCCTCCCAACTGAAAGGGAGCCAAATGGTGAGCGAAGGGTTCTTGCCTGGAGAAAGCCTGGCCGAAAGGTAAAGAGAGGTGACCTTGACGCTACGTCTGGTGGAGCACAGTGCTTTCTCTGTTTGGAGTACTGCTCTCCTTCCTGCAGCCCACCCAGCACTGACGGGGCCTTCCTCGGCCTTTAACCGTAAGGAATCTCCTCCCTCTGTAGTGCTCTGTGTGGTACCTTGAGGATTCCGAGTGCCAGACGTGGGGACGCACAGATGAATACGTATGGATTATATATCGAGCGGTCACTTGTGTACCATTTATAGGCCTGTTATTTAGAGGTTTGAATTAGTTTTTACTTTTAAAATACAATCTCTACTAAGATAAGAGCTTCCCTACTTATACTGTCACATATTGTAAATGCAGCTTCCTTTTAGGGATGTAAACTAAATTTAGGAAATGGTAGAATCTGACAATGTGTGATTTTAATTGCAACATTTCGTAACTTTTTTGTTGGTAGGTTGTTCCAGTCTTGGTGCATCTCCTGTCTGCTATCAGCAGTGTTAGGCTCTACATTCCCAAAGACCTTCGACCCCTGGACAACAGACAGAGTGTTCTAAAGTCGATACAGGTACACATTGACTTTATAAATTAAATGCAAGTTTCCTGCACATCTACTGAGGCTCCATAGTGAGGCAGCCGAAATGCCTCCTTTCAGAAAAGCTGTGACCACCCCCAGGAGAGGTGGTTCTGTCACAGTGGTGGCCGCCAAGCCGCACCCCCGTCCTCTCTCTGCACCAGCTCCGTGAGCCACTGGAGGGCACGAGTGTCAGTCCTGGGCCAGGGCGTAGCCATGTTCATTGTGGTCAACAAATGGTTGAAATCATTTTATTTTCAACAAAAAATTAGGACTTGTAGAAAACTTTATTTTCTACTGAAAAAAAGGAACTTTGTTATTTAGTCAGTAAACATTTAACCCTTTGCAGTCGTTTGTCTACTCTCAGCCACCAAAGCTTTTTTACCGTTCAGGTCGTATGTCTGCTCTCAGCCACCACAGCAAGGAACCGTACGAATCTTAACTCTATGCATTCATGTATCAGTTCATAATTTCTCTGAAAGCTCCTAAGTGTCTAAGCGACCTTGTCACGAACCAAAACATTGCCCGACAAATCGGAGATATCGAAACTCAATATAAACAAACGCGGTCATTCCACACTCGCCATGCAAAACACCGTGGCGAGTCAGTCGCCTTTTGAGAGTGAAGAAATCGACAAGCTTCGGAGATACTTCGCAGAATTTCAAATAAAGCTTTACAAATTACGTTTAACTGTAATTAGGCATTCTCGCTTAAGATATTTCAAAATAATACTGCAAAATGGCAAAAAGAAAGTTACCGAAAGAAGTGTACTGCGAATCTGAAAGTAATGAGTTTTATTTTGGCACCTTGAATACTGACTCTGACGTAGAAAGTGATAACGTTTGTAGTGATTCTACTAGTAGTGACGTAGTTCCAGAAAAGAATTAATAAATCTTGTTTATCCTTCATAATCTCGCATGTTATGTATCACTGCTCTTTCAATGGAAATTAATTCCGACCAGTACAACACCCATGTCCAAATTTGATACGACCGCAAAGGGTTAAATTAGCATCTACTGCTCATGGGAGATTATATACTAGAATCTGAGACAACAAAGATAAAGGAACAGGCTACTTTCACTAGACCTTTTTAAGCTGTATCTATGTATGTATTGATTTATTTATTGTTTGTTTATTTAATTCCTACCTGGCCAAATCCTATCTCATCTTTGAAGTCTGTCTTAGACCCTGAAGTCCCCCAGGGGGCGCTAGTCTGCTGTGAACCATCCCTTCTCTGAACTCATATGCTCATTATGTTCACAGTTCAGTCGTATAAAAAAAATTAGCAAGCGGGATCTGGACCTTTTAAAATTTACATCTTTTGACTCAGTTGTGCCCTCCTTAGGTATCAACCCCAAGGAATTAATCAGAAAATTGAAAACAATTTATACACTTAAGAGATGTTTAATACACAATTGTTTATGATGGCAAGATGTTTTCACAACCCAGATGTCAGAGAGTGGCTTACCATTGGGCTGTGCCACATCCAGACATTGAACTCTATGTGCTAGGCTACTAGTCGAGTACAGTGCGCCCCTGCATCAGAAAATACTCAAAAGGAGTTTCAGAAACAAAGGCAGTGGGGAGATGCACTCACATATAAGTGATTTGGGAAATTCCAAGCTGTATATATGTAGCAGCCTTCTTATGTTTGCACATAGAAAAGCATAAAAGAAAATACTGATTTAACTAATTTTGTCTATAAATAAAAATTAATTTTAAATGTTTGTTTCAGGAAGTTCAAAAACGGTTTCCGGATGGTGTTCCCTTATTGGACCCTATCGATGACATGGGCATTCAAGACCAGGGCCTGAAGAAGGTCATCCAGAAAGTGGAGGCGTTCGAGCACCGCATGTACTCTCACCCGCTTCACAACGACCCGAACCTGGAGACCGTGTACACGCTCTGTGAGAAGAAAGCGCAGGTATGCAGACACGGATGTGTATCCTAGAATTCTGTGTGTCTCACGAAGTCAATGAGGATGTGTTCTTCATTTTCTTCTCCTATGGGTTTCATCAGCTATAATGAAACTATCTTCTAAGTAGTTATGGACTCTTAGTAAGGCAAGATGAAGATCATCTTACTATAGTTTGGCATTTGATCGGGGGGGGGGGGGGGAGGGGAGTTCTTTGCAGTTTTTGGGTTTTTTTTAATCCTCACCAGAGGATATTTTTCCGTTGATCTTTAGAGAGTGTGGAAGGGAGAGGTAGAGACGGAGAGAAACATCGATGTGATAGAGACACATCAATTGGTTGCCTCCCACATGAGCCCTGACCAGGCCTGGGGAATCGAACCTGCAACCGAGGTACATGCCCTTGAACGAAATTGAACCCGGGACCCTTCAGTCTGCAGACTAACCCTCTAGCCACTGAACCAAACCAGCTAGGGCAGCAGTATTTTTAATGAGATATAATTCATAGCATAATATTCGCCTTTTTAAAAAAAATGTTTTTATTGATTTCAGAGAGGAAGGGAGGAGAGAGAGAGATAGAAACATCAATGATGAGAGAGAATCATTGATTGGCTGACTCCTGCATGCCACACACTGGGGATCAAGTCCACAGCCTGGGTATGTGCCCATGACTGGAATTGAACCCCCCGGGAGCCTTCAGTCTGCAGGCTGACACTCTATCCACTGAACCAAACCAGCTAGGGCAATATTCACCTTTAAAAAGCTCACAATTCAGTGGTTTTTAATTTATTCACAGCTCCCTGCAGCCATAACCACTGTCTAGTTTCGGAATATTTTCATCACCCCCCCAAAAAACCTCATACCAACTATTAGTCACTCCCCCCCCGCCCCCCCTCCCCAGTCTAGCAGCCACACTTGTGCTCTCTGCCTCTACCATGTGCCCGCATTGGAGGTTTCATCTCGGAAAGGCGTACAGAGTGTGGCCTTGTGTGTTGGCCTTCCTGCACTTGGCGCATGTCTGCAAGGTTCTCCGTGTGGCCACGTGGATCTGTGCTTTACCGCAGGGCACGTGTGCTGCCCGGCTCGGGCGTGGCTCCAGGGCTTGTGGGACCGCAGTGCGCTATCCAGTCGTCAGGCGATGGGCATGGGGGTTTCTCCACCTGGGCCACCACGAAGAACGATGCTGTGAACATTCGTGTCCAAGTGTTTGTACGGATGTGTGTGTTCATCTCTCTTGGGTGGCATTGGGTCGAACTGCTGGGCCATACAGTAACTCTAGGGTGAACTTTGTGAGAAAACTGCCAAACTTTTCCAAAGTGGTTGCACTGCATCCCACCAGCAGTTTATGAGAATTCCCATTTTCACATCCTGTCCAGCGCTTGTCATTGTCTGCGTTTATTGTAGCCATCCTAGTGGTACGAAGCTCTAGTAGTTCAGCTTTTCATGCTCATCAGCGGAAATCTCCAAGCAGAAAAGGTGATCTTAGAGCCATTCTGAATAATGAACTCAGAAAAAGCTTTTGGAAGCGAACACATCCCTCTCCACTGTCCACCTCTCTGCACCTGGAATCTTTTGTCCTATACACGTCACTTCCTCCTTAACGCTTGTAACGGGTTTTCATAAGGTCTGCATTTAATATTAGTTACTGCCACGTATGATTCTATGAGAATAATAACGCAAACTGTAAATAGGGCACATCCTTAGTTGTGAATAAATTGGCCACCATCATTGCCTTCAGAATAGCTACTCCTAAACTGAAGCTTAATATATAGTCTGCAAAATCCAGCTTCCCAGCCCCTAGCCTGTCTTCGTGTCAGTGTTTTTCTGAGCACCGAGCCTCTGCTTCAGTATTCTGTGGTTTCCATCACACTCTTGTCCCAGCAGAAGCGTTTGTAAGTTACTGATTAGCTAAACCTTAAAACTCGCCCCCTCTCAAGGACGGTCTCGAAGTCCTTGTACTTTGAAGCTTCCGTCTCTGTCTGTAGGATAAAGACCTGTTCTCTTTGCTGAAGCCGTTTCCCGGTTTGTGATGTAATTTGAGGACAGAGCGAAGGGACACTTTTACCCCAAGGATCATGGGGGAAATCGAGGTGGTCAAGAGATGAGAGTCCTGTCCCTGTTCTCTCCGCTCCCCCTGCTTCCCTGAGGACGAGGGGCTGGAGCTGTGGGACTTGCCTCTTTAGGGGCAAGCGTGTCAAGGAGCCCTGAGATCACGCAGACCTGGCTGCCTCCTGAACTTCCTCACCAGCCAGTGGCTGCGCAGCTCCTCCCTTCCTCTCGTGCCGCCTCCTGAAGCTGTTGACCCTTCGCCTCCTTGCTCTGCTCCGGCTGTCAGTGGATGTTTGTGTTTTCCATAATTTCACAGTTTCCCTAGTCTTCCTCTAGTGCAGCGGTTCTCAACCTGGGGGTCGAACAACCCTTTCACAGGGGTCGCCTAAGACCATCGGAAAACACATCTATAATTACATATTGCTTTTGTGATTCATCACTATGCTTTAATTATGTTCAATTTGTAACAATGAAAATACATCCTGCATATCAGATATTTACATTATGATTCATAACAGTAGCAAAGTTACAGTTATGAGGTAGCCACGAAAATAATTTTATGGCTGGGGGTCACCACAACAGGAGGAACTGTATTAAAGGGTTGTGGCCTCAGGAAGGTTGAGAACCACTGCTAGTGGAAGGTCCAGGAGCGCAGCGTAAGAAACTCCTATGTCCCTCTTCCTGTTAGGGCTCTGACAGGGAAGTGTGTGGCGGAGCGTCCTGGGGGAATGTGTTTGTGACCTGAGTAAGTCCCATTTTACTTTGTCCACTTTACTGAGCTTCCTTTATACTTCTGGATGCCTTAGATCGCCATAGATATTAAATCTGCAAAGCGAGAACTCAAGAAAGCAAGAACAGTCCTGCAGATGGATGAACTCAAGTGTCGCAAACGCGTGCTGCGGCGCCTGGGGTTTGCCACTTCCTCCGACGTCATAGAGATGAAGGGACGAGTGGCCTGTGAGATCAGCAGGTGAGGCGGCGCGGTGGGCTGTTCGTCTGGTAGGAGGAGCTGCCTGAGGGCTGGCGCCTGCCAGCACTGTCACGTGAAGTGCGGTGACCGTGACATTGGGAGTTGAGAAGAGGAAAGCGCTTCAGTCTCTTGGATTCCGTGAACTGACGTGAACAGCTTTGGCATTTTGAAGTATTTCCTTTTTACTTATTCTAATGCACGTGGGGTTTTTACGTACTTTAAATCTTATTTCATGCACAATTTTGTATCCTTTTTATTTTTTATTTACCTATTTTTCATATTTTATTTTTTGTTAATCCTCACTCGAGGATACTTTTCCATTTCGTTTTAGGGAGAGTGGAAGAGAGGGAATGACAGGGAAACATCAGTGTGAGAGAGACACGTTGATTGGCTAAGGCTATCCTTTTTAAAATGATGGGCCTTTTGCCCCAGCTGGTTGTTGCTCAGTGGTTAGAGCAATGACCGGCACACCCAAGGGTCCTGGGTTTGACTCTGGTCAAGGACACGTACCTCAGTTGCAGGCTCGGTCCCCCGCCTGGTCCGGGCACATGTGGGAGGCAACCAATCAGTGTGTCTCTCACATCAATGTTTCTCTCTCTCCTCCCCCCTCCCTTCCACTCTTTCTAAAAATCAGTGAAAAAAATATTCTCAGGTGAGGATGAACAAAAAAACCAAAAATTATGAACATTTCCCCACCTTGAAACTTAGTCTAATAACTGTTATTCTTCTATATGTACAGGAGATTTTGTTAAATCTTGGGCTGCAGGAGGGTATTGCCGCATAATATCATAGGCCATGGCTTACAAATGGCCGTCAGAAACACCGCCAACAAACAAAAGCAACAAAACAAAACAGTAAAAGAACAAATGGCCGAAAAGTAAATGGCTTGAAACCACAGCAGTCCTGTCATTCTCTCTGCTGGCGGCTGAGCCTGGCTTCCTGGTCCCAGGCGAGTGCTGTCAGCCTGAGGTAGATGGTGCTGTGGCCACAGTCACGCCCCGTCGTCTTAGTGAGTCCACACGAGACCCTTTGAAACAGCTTTCTCTGTACTTGGGGCCTCAGGGACGAGGCCAGAGGACTGCGGCCGTGGCTGTGGTGTCAGCCATTGCTAGTAGGGACGGCTCCTGTTCCTGTGGGTCTGGTTCCGATTCTGCAGGAGCTGGTGGAGGCTGGAGAGGAACAGTCCTCGGCCACCATGGGCCGGAGTGCCCAGACCCAGTCAGGGGTCATCCCCGAATAATGTCCTGTCAGACTCTCACTCCAGGATTTGAGGTGCAGTCTCTTGACTTTTCAATGTTCACACAGCGATTCAGTCAGGTTTTAGTCACCGTGTGAGCAAATAAAAACACATTTCTTCAAATTATATTTGCCCACAGGCTCCTACTTTCCCTTCAACCTGTGATGCAGTTCAGCTTTCCTACTTGGTAGTTAAAGAAACTAGGCACCATCGGTGAATAATTCACCCAGGGTAACTCTAGTCACAGCACTGCTACCAGCTCACCTGCCAGCATGAACGTTACCGAAATCATTTCTTTGTCAAGTTATATAGGACTTGATCCTGTAGACATTCATCTCTGCGGCGTCTGCAGCTGTGGATTGGTCTTGGAAGAATGGCATTGATCTTATTTTAAAATGGAAAGTTTAAAGTCATTTCCTTTTCTGCTTCTCCCTCTGGTCTCTGCTTTGCGGAATAAATCCCAGCCACTAAAAGCAAAAACTGGGAGGCATCCTCGACTCCTTCCCCCTCCGTCTCCTCACATCCTCCCAGGCTGTCCTCAGCCTCCTGCGGGAGTCGGGTCTGCATGAGCCCTCCTGTGTACCCCCCCACACCTCTGCAGTCCGTCCTTCACCCTCTCCCGGTATTCTTTCCAGAGCACACCCTTCTGTGCCCCTCTTCTCTGGGTAACAGTCTCTTGGGGATTCTTTGTTGCTTTTCGAATAAACTCCCTAATTCAGTGTGTTCTTCCCCTTCACTCTCTAGCCTGCCTGTGGCCACGTCTCTCACTCCATCTGTCGCTTAGCATGGCCTTTCTTGTGCTCCCCCTCATGTCCTGCTAATTCTGTGTATTTTCCCCAAGACCTTCTGAACCTTGCTCTGAAGTTCTCTGATCTGAGAATGTCAACGTTTTTAATGTAATCACCTGTAAAGCTCTTAGGTCACTGCCCTGTGATTACCTTTCTTGTCTCCTCCTGCATTAAAAGTAATCTTGACCTCTCAGGTTACCATTAGGAACCTAAGTTTAGTTTTTAACTTCATGTATATGTAGGATATACTAGAGGCCCGATGCATGAAATTCGTGCAGCCCTGGCTTCGTTCGGTCGACTTGCATAGTATGTTTTTATTATTATACTAGAGGCCCGTTGCAGCAAGATTCCTGCAAGAATAGGGCTTCCTGCGGCTGGAGCGAAGCAGCGAAGGGAGCAAAGCCCGCTGAGGGCTCCCTCCCGTGTCCGCTGCCTCGGCTCCTTCCTCCGCCGCTTTGCCCCTCCCTTCTGCAGCGCTTGGCTTCCTTCTATGCTGTCTTCAGTCTTCGCTCTGCTACATATGCAAATTAATTGCCATCCTGTTGGGATAATTTGCATACTCATCCTGATGGGCTGGTGGGTGTAGCAGAGTGACACCAATTTGCATGTTTCTCTTTTATTAGTGTAGGTAGATATACACACACACACACACACACACACACACATATAATTTTATTGACTTTAGAGAGGAAAGGAGAGATAGGAACAATTAAAAAGATGGTTGGACTCAGATAATAATCGGCTGATGATGACCTCTTCCTGGTTACTGAGAGTTAAGGGACGGTTCTTTAACTCAGGGAATGTGTGCAGCTTGGTATTTGCTAGAACGGGGTCTTTGTCTGAAATGCCCACTCTATTATTTGTATATTGGTAATATAATGACCTGCTGGGTCCTTAAGTAAATCTTGGTCACTCCTCATTGATTACTCCTTTGGTCAAATAGCACATGTTGTTAAAGGTTCCATTTAAGGGTGTGTGTGTGTGTGTGTGTGTGTGTGTGCCCGTCCTAATGCTGGCGCTTTTCTCTCCCGCGGGCGCAGTGCCGACGAGCTCCTGCTCACCGAGATGATGTTCAACGGCCTGTTCAACGACCTGTCCGCGGAGCAGGCCACCGCCCTGCTGAGCTGCTTCGTGTTCCAAGAGAACGTGAGTTCCTCCCCTGGCACAGCTGCCCCTCATCCCCGCCTGTCACTTGGCTGCAGTGCTGTTACGGGCAGTTCAGTTATAAAAGAATTCCTCCCCATTGACATGTTATGGGTAATGTGAGATAGAAGTCAGTACAACTTTAACCCAAGTAGAGTAAGAATTAGATGCATGTTATCAGAAAGGAGAGTGAACTGGGATTTTATTTTTGGATGATCGTTCATCAGATACCAAGTTTTAAAATTTGTTCCATAACCTGACACCTTGCTGAAGGTCTGGCCTAGAAGACAGCCCTAGAAAGAAAAAGATGAGTGAAAGTTAAATTTGGCAAAACTAGTAAAAATGAAAGGGCCATCTTGGGTTACTGTCCCTCCTCCCAGTGCGGGGGTCGCTGGGAAGCCACTCCCCCTCCTGTTCCTGCGGGCGGAGTTGCCTGGGCCGGGTGCAGGGCTGGCCCACGCTTCTCCGCTGGGTCTGCACCTAGTTGTCCACGGGACCACCTGCACTTCACCCCAAAACCAGTGTGACCTGTTTTATTTAAGAAGGTCACGTGCATGTTTCACATTTCAGATTTAAACTTTGTTGTGGTGAAATGGACAGACTCAGACTTGCCTTCTGAGCATAACTTAATGCTGCTGCCTGCTTTTGGAGGCCCTTCACCCGCACACCCAGCCTCACTGTGGGTGGGTGGTGTCAGACACGCTGCTTCTCAGTCTGCCATGGTCTAGTGGCTCCTCACTCAGGAGGCCGGTCAGAGTCGGGACCGGGTGAGGAGGCAGCGCCCAGAGCACAGGTCCTGCTCCCGGCCCTCGCTGGGCACCTGGAAGTGAGGTCACAGGAGGAGGCGCTTCCTGGGAAACACTGTCTTGTTGCTCCTGGGCTCAGCTTTCTCACCGTTCCTAAGGTGGCTGGTTGTGGAGAGCGTTGTCGGTTTTCTCGGAGCAGATGGAGGTTGCAGTGCAGGGTGTGTTTCAAAATCAAACTACAATAAAACAGCTCAGCCAATTTGGATGTAACTGAACTGCGTGTGTTCGCAGTATCTGCTCTTCCTCGGCCCCATCCCGGGCACAGGAGTGGCTCGTTAGCGCTCTGCGCCTTCTGGGGGTGAGGGTGAGGGGGCATTTTTGCTTCCATAACGTGAGTTGATTAGGAAATACAGGTCCGCAGGGTCGTGATGGCGTCAGCGTTGTTTGAGTGGCTGTAGGTTCTCACAGCCGACCCTCCTTTTCTTTCCCAGTCCAGTGAGATGCCCAAGCTCACCGAGCAGTTGGCGGGGCCCCTTCGCCAGATGCAGGTAGGACTCTGAACCGCCCGTTTACGAGTAGTAGGTTGTAAACAGCTGCTCTGAGGCATGTCATTCTGGGGTGAAGCTGTCACGTGCTGTTATCTCACCAGTTAATGCTACTTACGGCATAGCACGTCACTTGTGGTTTTTACTGTATAATTAAACAGTCTTTTTCACAAGTTAATAAATTGCACAGGTGGCTGTGAGGCAGATTAACAGTCACCCTGCAGATGCTACAGCAGCAGGTCCATGTCTGTCTCGTTTTCCTCGAGGCTAAGAACGCCGTCTTGATGGACTAGGGTTAGTTAGCTTTATCTTTTAGTTTACTCTTCTATTCTAGTTTACAACAGAGTTTTAAAGTCTGTTTTATCCTAAGAAATTATTTATCTCTGGCTTCTCAAAGTCACAGTAACTTAGAGTAATGAATTTGTGTCCGTTACTGTTTCCTTGGGGAGAATTGATTTTTGTCCACCTTTCAGTGTCTTACAGAAGATAGGGAAGGACGAACTGTGAGACGTTGCAAGGGAGGAATGAAAAGTGCAGCAGAGAAAAGGGCCCCTGGTGCAGCAGGCAGCAGCCCCCCCTGCTCCTGCCAGAACCCAGGCGTTTCTGTAGCGGCAGGTGCTTTTCACCTTCTAATTACCAAGGATAAAAGAGCGAATCTAAACTTCTCATTATAGGCAAGGAAAATCTTCAGATTTACATTTTTTGAAGCTTTATTGGGGGGGGGAAGCATTATTTTGCCATATGATGTGTTTCTCTAAATCTGTTTTATTACTGTTTTTGTTTTGTTAATGAAACAAGTAGAGATTGGTTAAGTGCTACTCTTGTATAATTTTCATGAATAGTTTCTGGGTTGTTTTTTATTTTTTATAAGAATTTATTTGCGTCAACTGATGATGTGCCGGTATATTGGGGAGCAAAATCTCAAATGCTCCAGCAGTTGCTGGTTTTTTTTTTTGGTGAAAATCATGATCTTGATATATTACTTCAACGTAACGGGGAAACGTTGCTGTCTGTTCACTTAACAATGGAAAGGCACTGGGGCTGCTGAGCCGCAGCATATCCAACGTGCAGGCACGTGCTGGGTGAGAAGAGGGGACCTGGTGGAACGCTGGCGTTGGAGATGAAGAGGTGAGGTGGGAGGTCACAAGTCAACTGTAAGTGTATCTTTTATCTTCAAAGGAATGTGCTAAACGAATTGCAAAAGTTTCAGCAGAAGCCAAACTGGAAATTGATGAGGAAACCTACCTGAGCTCATTCAAACCTCACTTAATGGATGTAGTGCACACCTGGGCCACGGGGGCGACATTTGCCCACATCTGCAAAATGACAGATGTCTTTGAAGGTATGGGTCAGTGTTTATGCAGACACTGCTTTCTGATGGAGGGTACGTTCGGACTCAGGGTGGCATTGTTTGTTTTTAATAAGAGAAAGTTTATTTAGAAAGTCCGAAGTAGAAGTGAACGGGAGAAGGAATGGGCTCAGGAAACAGGTGACAAAGGCAACAGAAGGGGCCTTGGACCTTAGGAGAGAGAAGGGTAAAGGCAACGCCCTGGGGGAAGCAGTGTGGGGAGGAGGGGTCCCAGAGTGCCTGGGGCCTCTGTCCTAAGGGCCTGTGAGGACGGGATCTTCGGGGCGGTCCCAGGGCAGGACTTCCATAGACGCTGCATCAGCTCCCAGGTGTGTCCTCTCAGGATGTGGGTCTCTGCTGATTGGTCGGTACCAGGGGCTCATCAGTCAGTGCAGCTGGTCCTGAGGTCAGCTGGGGCGGCACTTGTCTGGTTTGGCTGCTTTTTCTGTGCCTGGAGCTGAGAGACAACTGAGACCTAGATGTATTTGATGCCGGTCAGAACCTCCTTGTCCTGGGAGCTTACTGCTTCTGGGCTCCGCTCTGGCCTCCTCGTTCTTTCCCCCTCTGAGGTCGTCTAACCTGGGTGACTAGCAACCTGCCAGGGTGACATTGTCTTAATGAAACATTAATTTTTGGTGATAAAGTGGAATCTTCTGCCTACGCAGGAAGACAGTACTCTCCACACACCCTGTGTAATAGGCATCGTCCGCTCGTTTAGGTGCTTAGGAAACGGCTGTAATGTGTAATCTCTGCCAAAGCCACTGCATGTGCTTGTGATGAACAGGCGATCCTGGGAGGTCAAATTCCTGCACTCAGCCCCTCAGCCTGGCCTGTGCCCTCTCGCAGTCCGGGAGCCCTCGCTCCTTCCTGCCCGCCTGCACGCTGCTCCTTGAGCCTGGCTTCTGGCTGAGCCCTGACCACCAGGGGGCAGCTCCTGCACTGAGTGTCTGCCCCCTGGTGGTCAGTGCGCCTCATAGTGACGGGTCCTTCTGCCGTTCAGTCGATTTGCATATTAGCCTTTTATTATATGGGATGTGCTCCTCCAAGAAGTCAGACACGGTGACTTAACAATCGTGGCTCGTAAAGCAGAGGAGGCTTTGTTTGTTTTAAGAAAAATTCTGGGTTCACAGGGCTGTAAAATGTGTCTGTTCTTGTATGTGATGGAAAAGTTCTCACAGTCGGAAAGACATGCCTGGACCTGCTGAGGCTGAGGCCAGAGTAGCCCTGTGAGTCGGCCTTTCCACAGCACGCAGCCTCCCGCCGCCTCCCGCCCTTGCCCTTCCTGGAGCCGTTCCCCGTCACCGTTTGCTTGAGGATCTCAGTTTGAAGTTTGGTCTAATGTCAGTACAGTTTTCTTTTTCTGGTCTGGGTACCACTATATCAACTCAGATTTTTCTAAAATTGGAGTAGACTATATATTAACTCTTAAAACAAAATGGCTAATCAAACAGGAACAAAAAGCTGAAGACCTTGATTTACTTAGGATAGTATTTCCTTTTTTGAACACAGTGACCCCCCCCCCCCCCCCCCCCCCCCGTTTACCAGGTTGTTATTCGTTCTCCCGTTGCAGAACAGCCCTTCGCTCCTCGTCTTGTCATCGCCCATCTTTATATAGTTGGAAAAACACAGTAATCTGAGCGCTCGCCATAGCACAGCGCGCCTTGGAACTTTGTAATGTGCTGCGCTCAAACCGTATTTATCTGTTTCTAATTAGATTCTTAATCTTCTTTTTATGTGAAAAGAAAAGGTTTTGATCATTTCAAGAAGTAGTATTTTTTAGGCATTAGCTGGGTTAAATCGTAATGATTAACCATGTGTTTGAGGGATGTCTGTGTACTGGGGTTCATTTGAGGAATTTTGAAGACTTATGTAAATAATGATCTCTTCTTATCACCCTGAAACAATTGATAGGCTGTAGTTGTTTCTTATTTCCGTCGAACTCGATGTGAACAGCACTCTAGAAAGTGCAGAGGCTGAAGCCTGTGGTTTGCTGGCTGACGCATGGAGTGGCTCCATTGCCGCTGAGGCAGCGCCTGTCACTGTCCGTTTCTGTCTGTAAAAGCCACGGTTGCACCCACCGAACATGAAGGACTCGCTCTGCACTGGCAATGCCATCGGGACCATTACTGAAACGCTGCCCTCCGGCCCCATGTGCTCCACACCCGCCCACCACACTCTTCTCAGATGCCTTTCATCTGGCGTGGTGTCCCTGAGGCCGGGTGCCCCTGAGTCATGAGGGACTTTCCACTGGACTTGTTTTTAGAAATACTTTACTAAAAATAACAGTGACTTTTATTAATATGTATCATCTCTGTGTTTAAATTGGGCACAGTTGGTACTAAGTGACTTAGGAATGAGACCTGGCACGCACTCATTTGATGAGTTACTGAGCCCCAGTGTGAACAGCAGAGCCTCCTGCAGAAAGGGTCGGCCCACGCCCGCGCTCACTGCAGGAACGCACATTCGTGATGCTGACCTCAGGGCAGACCGTTAGAACCCGGTGGGTAGGAGGCAGGGCGGGCCCTGCGCGGCACTCGGGATGCCGGAAAGCTGGAGGCGAGATGCTGCTGGGGAGGCGTGTGCCTTTCCGTCCTCGGTGAGAAGGGTGGTTTGTTCCAGAACAGCTGCCTTCAGGCACGTCGCCCACATGTCCGTGGGGTGAAAACGTAGATTGTGGTGCCTCATCCACCAGGACGGTGTCAGCTGGGAAGAGAATGTGCGACTGGAATGCAATGGGATGAACTTGGGGTCACATTGAGGGTGTAAGTGGTGACACAGGCAGCCACGGCAGTGACCGTGTAACAACCCGCGTCCCCCAAAACCACTGCCTTGTCCTTTTCCTCTTGGTCCTGGCGCCTCCGCTCACTCCTCCAAACCAGGCCTAAGCAGGTGACCCTCCTGTTTGAGGGGTGGTGCTCCCCATTGTCTGTCAGGTGACCTCGTGCTGTCGTCGTCTTGTGACCAGTCTCCTGAACTGCATCCTCATCTCATTGGTCTGGCCCGGGGTGTCCTGCAGGGAGGACTCTGCCTGTGCTGGCACTGGGCTGCTTTGCGCTGCCGTGAGGGAGATGGCTCTGTGTTTGCCTGGGTCTCAGCTCAGAGGCCGTTCTGCTGGGTGAGTCATCTCTGTGCTGCAGCCACGTGCGGGCGCTGGAAGGGAAAGCCCTCAGCACCGTGCACAAACTCGGTAGACGCTCATGGGCCCCAGTTCAGGCGTGAGTCACAGTGGCCTCCTCAGAGCTGAGGCTCCTCAGTGCTCAGGCTGGATCCCGGCCATGGCTCTCAGCGTGCGCCCAGGCCGCCCTGCTGACGGCTGCCCAGGGAGCCTGCACAGCGCAGCTTTGACGCAAGCACTTGTCTCAGGTCGAGTCCCATGGGAGCGGCTGGTCCTCTGGGTGGGGAGAGCCCGAGGGAAGACGCCAGAGGAATGATAACTGCGCCTTTCAGATGGCAGACCGGACCCCTGCTTAGAATCCGTGCCTCCCTGACGGGATGGTGCCCAGGTGCTCGGGAGGCCGCCCTCCTCGGGCTCGGCCGCTGCCCACAGCCCTGTCCTTGCTGGCCTCTGCCCAGAGCTGCTCTCGCCTGCCCCGGGCCTGTGCTGTGGTTCAGGTGCCTGTGCAGGAGCAGGTGTTCACACTTGATGGAGGCCCAGGACTCTGGCCCTTAGCAAGGATGGGAGGGCCCTTCTCTGCACCTTCTCGCCCTGGGCCTGTGTCCCACGCTCTCCGCATGGCCTCCTCCCCAGGCCGGCCGTGGCTGCCTCCCCCAACAAGTGTGTCCCCTTTCTCCGCAGGCAGCATCATCCGCTGCATGCGGCGCCTGGAAGAGCTGCTGAGGCAGATGTGTCAGGCGGCGAAAGCCATCGGGAACACGGAGCTGGAGAACAAGTTCGCGGAAGGTCAGTGTCCCTTGGTGCCTGCTGTCCCACAGCACCTGTCCATCCCGTCTCCCTGGGTGGCCACGAGTGCCCTCTAGTGGCGGTTAAGTAAAGCTTTAGTGTCTGGGTCAAGTTTTTAAGATGATGTATGTTTATGTGCCCCTCAGGTGCCCGCACTAGGGACACGGCAGGGGTGGCCCGGCCTGCCTGGAGCTCCTGTCCCAGCGCGGGAGACAGATAACAAGCCAGCCCTCCACAGAGGATGGCCGGGGGGGCGGGGCCAGGGGGAGGGGACGCTGGACGACACGGCCCTTTACCCAGGCTTGGTGCACGTGAGTGCTGGCAAGAGCCCCGTGTGCTGGAGCCGAGTGGGCGCGGGAGGGGATGGTGGCGGGAGAGATGAGTGTGTGGCCCGCCCTCGCCTCCTTCAGGATGACCCGCAAGCTTTGCCGTCACGAGTGCTGGGCAGACGGGGGTTCTCCCGGGCCGTTGGCTGTTGCTTTGCAGGCCCGTCTGTAGAGTAGACGGTGGAAGGAAGCGGGGAGTCCAGCTCCAGACAGGACGGCTAGAGCCAGAGGGTGGGGGGGGCCAGGCTTGTCAGTGGGCTCACAGGGTCCAAGCACTGGCCCACGTGGGGCTGAGCAAAGAACCCCACAACCTCTGCTGCCACCTGTGTCCATGACACCTGCAGACATGGCCTGACGCCGTGTGCCCGAGAGGAGACCTAGTCACTCCGGTTTAGGTCTAATCATGGGAACTGGGTAAAAGTAAATCTTGGTCCTGCCTCAGAAAGAATTTCACATGGCTATTGAAAATGTAGTGTCTTCAGGTTGAAAATTCATGCTTTTGGGTCATCTAACTTCTTTTGACAGTTTAGTCCTTCCCCAAATAAGGTTTTTGGGATATTTTTAGACACCCCCGACCCCACTCCTACATGCGTGCACGCGCACACAAGCACACTGGGGTACAGGAGGGTCACACACACATACACACACACACACACACTGGGGCACAGGAGTGTCACACACACTGGGGCACAGGAGGGTCTCACACACACATACACACACACACATACACACACTGGGGCACAGGAGGGTCACACACACATACACACACACACACACACACACACTGGGGCACAGGAGGGTCACACACACTGGGGCACAGGAGGGTCACACACACACACACACACACACACTGGGGCACAGGAGGGTCACACACACTGGGGCACAGGAGGGTCTCACACACACATACACACACACACATACACTGGGGCACAGGAGGGACACACACACACACACACACACACACATTGGGGCACAGGAGGGACACACACACACACTGGGGCACAGGGAAAGTCACGGCATCAGGCCAGGGTGTGGTTTCCAGGTGGCCCCTCTCAGCGGGCTGTGAACTCGCCAGGTCTCATTCAGACCAGCAGCGTCGTGTGCTATCTCTACAACGGGGGGATGACATTCTTCATGGCCTCAAAGGCTAAACTGAGCCGTGTTCTCTCCTCAGGAATCACCAAAATCAAGAGAGACATTGTGTTTGCCGCCAGCCTCTACCTGTAGGAGCCATAGGACGTGGGGTGGCCCGTCGGCCTCCTGTCGGGTGGCAGATGACCACATGCACGAGCAGCGCTCGGCTCGCCCTCCCCCGACAGTTGTCCTCAGACATGAACACACGTCATTTGAATCAAGCACCATGGCAGACATTTGTACATAGCATTGCGTTTTTAATAAAAATGTACAGGTGAGGCATGTTGAAAGGCTGACATTTCTTCGTGGACTTGGAGCTTGGACAGCCGCCGTGTTGGGGAACTATGTACACACAGGGAAGTGAGCGTGGGGATAGCAGCAGAGTCCCTCCCGGGCTGTGCACACCGGACGCGCCCTCGTCTCTGGGCAGCACCCTTCTCCCTCGGGCCTCGCGCCTTCAGGGCTGATTGTTCCGGAAGTGATTCTCCCCCGAGGCCGTTTCATGCAGGTTTGTGTGAGAAGCCTCCTCCTTTCTTTCCTTAAAAGAATTTCTCTCCTTGAAGAAATCTGATACATACACCACCTACAGGGAACAGATTATACTCAGAATAAGGTTAGAAGCCATAGGCAAAGTTTCAGCAAGCCGTGTGCAGAACTGACTCTGGAGAGCAGGACACGCATTATGGGTAGGACTAAGGGCACAGCCATCATGCTACCAGGCATGTCTGTCCACGGGATTCATCCCGTGGAGCTGCGTTTTATGTTGGGGGCAAAGAGCCTCACTCTGATGGCAACTGTTATTCTTCATGTAAATTTGCTTTTTTCCAATTCATTACCAACAAGAAGACGGCTGTAGTCGGAGCCTTTCACAAGGAGCACACGGGGACTCTGGCGTCCATCCGTGGCCACCCTGACGTGACTGGGCAGCCCTGCACTCTGGCCTCGACCCCGGCGGGCATGCGCCCTGCCACCACGGTCTCACAGGACGTCTCTCCACTCAATGGCCACGTGCCATCGCCGCAGGCGTGCCTGCCGCCTGGTACTCACCACCAGCACGGCCACCAGCGCCCCCTGGACGAGCCCCGTCAGCACGTCGCTCCAGTGGTGCTTGTAGTCGGACACGCGAGAAAGGCCCACATAGATGGACGTGGCCACGAGGCCGAACTGCAGTGTGGGCCGCAGGAGCCTCGCCCAGTCCGCCCGCATCCTGGCCTGAAGGTAGAGCTAACAGAGAGATCGTGTCAACATGCAGCTGAAATGACTTCACGTCAGGTGTCCCCTGGCCTCTACAGGGCTGGTGTGTCTCAAATGACCCGCAGACATTAAATATCAGTCATTAAATAGCCGATATTTTTATCACATATGGAATAAGGCTTCAGGCAAGCGTCCTAAAAGTTCACCCTTTTAAGCAGAACAAAACAAACTACTACCCAGGAACTTCTCAGGATTTACTGCCTCCGCAGGCCGCCGCCTCACCCGTGTCCCAGGGCAGAGGGCGCCTTTGGACTAGGGTTTCAGCCCCGCAGTCTGTCCGGGGCTCACACGAAGGCGCGGAGGCCAGCGCTGCTGACAGTGCGTCTTGGGCTGAGCCTCCCCCGCCAGCCTGTCTAGAGCAAGTCGGCTTAATGCTCAGCAACTGACACCCGGGGGCTCCACTGCCTCGGCTCACTCACAGGTAAGTGTAGTCACTGCCTAAGCCAGCGCCGCTGCAGTCCAGCCCTCACCCCCCAGCGGGTTCTCTGCACCCCCTTTCCCACCGAGCCCTGAGCGCTCCTCCCGGCCGCCTGCCTGACAGCGCAGCCTCAGGACCCTGACGAGGGAGAAATCTGGGTTTCCTATGAGCGCCTCTTGGCAAATCTGGGCTCATTAAAAGCACGTTTTTGGTCTAATTTCTACCCAGTGAGGACATAAAAGCTCAATAGAAAACTGTGTGTGGCTGTGCTTATTCAGAAGAGACAGGCCCGCGCCCAGCTGCTGGGCACACTGTGGGCTCCGTTCTCAGCAGCTGGGAGCACCTGGTTCTGAAGATGCACGCCCGGCGGGGGCTCTCAGCTGTGGGCTTAGGTGCTGCTGGCTTTCCACAGTCCCCTCCCCCCCACGGAAGGGAGAGGGCAGTGACCCCTCGGGGCGGGCAGGGTTTGACCAGGAACAGTCGCCACGACTCCTCGGGGCCTGGGCAGCGCAGGCCCGAGGGTTTGCAGTGAGGGTTTAAGAGGGAAGCGGAGGGATCATCACGAGCTGAGAATGGATGCGGTCCCCACTCCCTGCCAGACCCGAAGGGCTGCGCTAGCTGAGACCTGCTGGCCGGCTGTGCCCACCTGTCCTGAGAGGAGGCGTGATGTAAAGGACACCTGAGCCTCCCACTAGAGCCGCTCCCTCCAACAGGAAGGGACGCCTCACGTCCTCACTAGCCTTTACCCAGCCCCTCCCCAGTCTCCTCTGCAAAAGGGGCAGCCAGACCAAGGCCACAGGAGCGAGGGGGCAGGGGGGACAGCTGCAAAGCCTGTCCATTCCCCGTCTCTGGTAGGAGAAACTGACCAGTCGGTGTCCAAGCAAATCAAATCACCCCAGAGGGCGCACAGCCGTGTCAGGAAGCAGGAACTAGTGGAAAAGAGCCAGCCTTAGGGTCCACCTGGGCATGAGGGACAGTCTGGGCAGCAGCCATCACGGCCGTGGCAGACGGGCACCCACTCTAAGGGGCTCACGGCACAGCAGGGGGCAGGTGACAGGCGTCGGCTGACAAGAGTGCGTGAGGTGGCCCACGGGAGAGGCCACATGCACTCATATCGCGCACCAGGTGAGGGCGGGGGCTGCAGGGAGAGCCCTGACCTGCGTCACGCAGGCACGTACTCACCGCCAGGAACAGCATGCAGTACATGGAGAAGGAGGAGTGGCCCGAGTAGAAGGACAGCCTGGAAGAGAGGAGAGAGCTCATTCTCTCCTGGAGGCCCAGGCGTACTCCCCGCCCATGGCGCCCCCTCCCCCTTTAGAACCAGGAGGGGGAGGCAGGGCAGCGGGGGGCAGCGCGGGGCGGCTGTGACACTCAGGATGGCCGAGCCCTGGAGCCAGCCCGCCAGGCTCGCCACAGCAGCTCTGACGGCAGAACTGGCCCAGGGCCTGCGGGCTATTCTCCACCTGCAGTCGGCCCCGAGGCACGCGCCTCTGGAACGTTCAAAAGTGACTGCTTTTTGTAAGACAAGCTCTGAAGTTGAAGACAGCGACAGGTTAGCGTTCTCAGTGGGCACACGTCCAGCCGTGGGCTCCCCCAGGCTGTAGGGCTGCTTCCCCTGCGACAGCCCTGGAGTTGGACGTGTCAGACGCACCCTTTGGCCCGCAGAGCCTAAAGCATTTACTCCCTGGGCAGGAGACAGCTGCTCATCCTGGACTACCAGGGACCTACAAGGTCTGCGCACACCATGACGCGTTGGAGATGAGAGCTGCACTGAGTGCTTTAAATCGAGGACGAGGACGGGAAATGGGGGGGACGGGCACAGTGAGGAGAACAGAGCCGGCCCTCCACTCGGGGCCGGCCGCTGGCACCCACTCCAAGCCGCGCGGCGCTGTCACGCAGGCCCTCACACGGACACGCACCTGCCCTCCTTCACTTTCTGCGCGTTCCCTCGGCAGACATAGTTTTCAATGTAACCTTCGCTGCTGCAGTTGATCTTTGACCAATCTGGGTCGCAGACGTCCAGGAAGTGCGGCCGCAGCCTGCCGATGGAGTACTTGGCGATGTCGGTCAGGGACTGGCTGGCAGCCGCGCCGAACAGGAACGTGCCCACGGCCTTGTAAATGGTGGCCACATAGTTATTCCTAACGAAGGAATTCGAGTGCAAGAGGTTACAGTAAACACACAGGGCTTCTCCGAGAACCATCTGAAAAAGAAACAGAAGAACATGTGAGAGCAGCAAACGGGCACTTTAAACAAAATTAAAAATAGAAAAGAAAAGGGTAAATCACAATAAAATTATTTTAAAAACAACGCTCCTTTCTTTACGCATGCTGAGTCCACTTAGGATAGCTGAGCACAAAAAGGGGGTCGGGTCAATGGCCAAGCCAGAGGCATGTCCGTCCCCTGCAGCCTTGCTGCTTGTCTTGTACGGAAATAATCAGTTTGAATAAGCAGACAGTGATGTGGACAAAAACAGTCCGTTCACAGAACACGACCCCCATTGGAGCATCCCTTAGGGAAGGCTACCTCTTCGTTCTTCCCAGACGCTCCGTACATCAAAACAGCCATCGCGTTAAAAGGGGGAGAAAAAAAGGTGGATGAGAATTTTAAGGAGTAAAACATCGAAAATACAAGCAGGGACCTAACCCTGAGGGCAGAGGAGGCCGAGGGAGCAGGAGGCCTGGCGCCCTGACGCCCCTTCTCCAGGAAAACCGCCCAGGGCCTCCTCCCACCACCGCCTGCAGAGCTGCAGGCCACGCCTCCCAGGCCCCCTGCAGCGGGGACCAACTTGCAGCCATGGAATGAGGTCAGAGGCACAAAAAGGTCTACAAATACTTGACAAGTTCACAGACTAATACCCTGAGAAATTTAAAAAAACACACACACCAAATGGCAACATTATAAAAATTACATTTGCTAATAAAACAAGCCACACTAGCTGCTTGAGCCCAAAGTAAAGGCCTGAGCGGCCTGCTGCCGAGTCCTGCGGAGCGGCTGAGTCACAGCTTCCCTCAGCCCTGCTGGCTCACTGCTTCGTCCCACGTAAGGACGGTTCGTCTGCACGAACAGTTTACAGTGCTGACCGCCCCCGGTGCGCGGGCGAGCCCACCACCTTGCGCAAGGAGCTCAGAACCCGGTCCCGACGTTCCTCCTTCCCCGGCCCCCCAGCTCCCCAGTCCCTCCTGAGCTGGAACTGACGCTGGCCAGGAGCCCTTCCTACAAAAGCAGATGGATGTCCAGCTCCCTAGGAAGCCGGTGCCGCCACGTGGCCTAACACATGACCTCACTGGGCGCTGAATAAACTGAAGATGCCGCCTCGGGGTAAATGCGTGGAGCCCACAGGAGGCTCCTGGTTGGGGTGCTCATGGGCAGACCTCGCCTGTCCCGAGACAGGCCCCCGGGCGGTTGGGGGCCCAGCACCGGACAGACCGGCGGCAGGAAAGACTCCGGTTTGTCTGTGGAGTTGGTCTTGGGCCGCTCAGAGCAGGTGCCAGTGTGTCAGCCCCAGTTGGGCAGCGAGACCTCACGGCCCAGCTGTCGCCGCGTGAGCGGTCAGCCGCTTTCCCAAAACGAGGCTGGACTTCCGGAGCCGCCTGTGAGGATGAAGGATGAAGGACCGGCTCTCGCCCTGGGGACAGAGGAGCTGCTGGGCTCCGGGCGCAGTGCAGGCTGACCCACAGGAGCACGCCCTGAAGCGTGACTGCGACAGGAGGCGGGACTCGGACGCCGTTCCGATCGTGGGCTCCGGCTCCAGTGAGAAGCGGGCCAGAGGGAGGTGCTGAACGGCTCTTCCAGGTCAACGCGGGTGAGTCTGTGTGACCGGCACGTGGCAGCCATCTTTGTGTTTCGTTTACTCTCTCCTCCTGCCTTGGAGCCACGTATGTCCATTCTCAACCCCTGGGGGGGCCACACTCACGAGACCTAATCTGTGGCCTAATTTCAGAGCCGGGTGACGGTCACGCATTATTCACTCAGACCCGAGAGACAGAACAAACCAAGAACTAAAGAGATGGGGAGCAGAGAGGACGCTGTTGAAGGTCAGTCTAGTGATGACCTCAGGCAGCATCAGAGCCTGCTCGGCGTGACCCTATCCATCTCTACGCTGTCTCTACGTTCGTCTTCGCTCGGGCCCACCTTCCCAGAACAGTACCCAGGACCCCTGGCCTGTTCCACTCCTGCCTCAGTACCTCCTGGCCTGTTCCACTCCTGCCTCAGTACCTCCGAACACCTCGTCCCCTCATCCTACTGTCTCCCTCAGAAGCCGCAGTCGTTCAGCAGCAGGCACAGGGGCCAGCCCTCGCTGCCTCCGTGGGGATGCCGGCCAGCCTGCCACGCCTCCTCACTGAGCTCGCCTTCCGCCATCCTCGTGTTTGTGGATTGTTTGCAATCCACGTCCGAGGCCTGGGTGAGTCTGAGTCCTAGGCCTAAAAGGCTTTTTAAGGAGATGGTTTACCTTCGACCACGTGGGCCTGCAAGAAGCTGAGCTAATGAATAAACTGCAGTTACTTTACACGAGCACGTGAACCTCTGCCTCGAGCAGCGTCTGTCCCTGCTGATGGGTCTGTGTGAAGACTGCACGTCACGCACCGTGCGACGGGCGGGTCGGTGTAAAACCGGCCCTTGGTCTCCTTGCTGTTGTTACTCTCCCTGTGAAGACAACGTGCTCACGGGGTGCGGAAACGGTCCAAGCTGCGTGTCACTGATGGGACAGGAGGGCTGGGTGCTGGGCGGCTGGCACCCCGACCCGCAGTGCAGCTGTCCATCCTCTGCAGCGACTTGGGCAGCTGCACCTGCAGAGCGTCTGTTACTGAGCGAAGCCCAGGGAAGTAGACTCCTGTCTGCAACCGAGAGGCCCCTACACCCTCCGTTTAAATGGTAACCTCAGGAGCAGACTTAACAAAAGGCCCTACTCGAGTGATGGCGAACCTATGACACGTGTCACCTCATTTTTTGGTTGATTTTTTCTTTGTTAAATGGCATTTAAATATATAAAATAAATATCAAAAATATAAGTCTCTGTTTTACTATGGTTGCAAATATCAAAAAATTTCTATATGTGACACGGCACCAGTTAACTTAGGGTTTTTCAAAATGCTGGCACGCTGAGCTCAAAAGGTTCGCCATCACTGCCCTACTCTCACTCCACCCTCAGTGGAAGAATCAGAGGCTTGGCTCTCTTCCCTTCAGCAGTAAACCCGGCAGAAGGACCTTCGGTTAAAGGGACCACTAGTTCCTAACCCTCGCCCTCCATCGGAGTCTCCGAGGTCACTGCGTGACCCCCGCGCCAGGACCGGCAGCCGCCGTGGCAGCCAGGACGCCCTGAGGAACGGCACCGCTGCCTCCAGGGACTGGTCTCAGGGACACTGAGCAGAGGTCTTCCTGTGTCGATGACGCACCGCCATCGCGAGCGACTCCCCTGCAGAGCTGAGGCCGGTGGTCGTTCCTGAGCAGGACATTCCATTTCTGAATGAAGAAGTGTCTTTATTTTTAATTAATTCCCAAAATGACAAACCTGAGGCTAGGATCTTGTCGGCCCATCTCCTGGATGGGACCACGTTTTCTGCTTTTGACTAAAGTCTTGCTTCTCCAGTTACAAGTCATGAAGCACAAATCCCAGCCTCTCCTCTCTGGGCCGGGGCCACGTCCTCTCTGTGGCCTGAGGCCCCCCCCAGAGCAGGCTGGCTCGCCCTCCTCGGTCACTGCTGACCACCCAGAGCGCCGGCGTTCCTCGCCGCTCCTGGTGTGACCTGAAAATCCTCTGAAGTGACCGTGGGTTAAGTGAAGCCTTAACATCAGTTATCAAATTTTCTTTTCCCAAATCAGTAACTAGAAAGTAGGTACAGAACAGTCTACCCGGATTCAGACAGTTATAAACTAACATCCCACCCATCTAAAGTAGGAACATGATACAGCATCAGCCCTCGCAGGATTACTGAACGAGAGCCAGAGCTCCAGCAGCCACTGGCTGAGGCGCAGCGAGCTCCTCCGGGGACGCGTGGCTCTGCTCTGGTCCCACCGACAGCAAATAACAGCTTCAGGCAAAGGTGAAAGCACACACATCGCTTAAGGGTTATGCACTCGTCATTCACAGGTAACACCAACATTAAGCCCACGGACCAAAAGGGAGAATGTGAAGAATGGATGTAACTTACGACGATGACACTGAATGGAATGAGTATTCCCCCCAGTAACGCGTAAGGGATGGTGTCTTCCTTGTAAGGGTACTTGATGGACACGTCATTACAGAACAGTCCTCGCTGGAAGGGGGTGTGCCTTGAAGTGAGAATTGCAAAAGGCAATCCGGCTAGCAAAGGGAATAAATGAAAACATCATTAAAAGTGGAGCATCAGCACGAAGCACCGGCAACAGTGATCCCGGGCTGTCAGCACGCGGGAGGGCGCAGCAGCGCAGGCGGGAGAGGAGGTGCAGGCAGGGCCCCCGCGTCTTCCACAGGCAACGCCCTTCCAGGCCTCCTGGCACGCTCCACCCAGAGGGACTCTGCCCTTCCTGCCCAGCACCCCATGGGGGTAGGGGCACTCCCTTCTCGTGCCCTTGTCATTTCAGCACTATTTTCAAACCCATTTGTCACAGACTTTGCTTTCCACCCAGGTCTAGGTCACACCACACTCAGGCCCGGGCACCGGCCAGGCCACCCAGGGCCTGAGGAAGATCCCCCCCTGGCGCTGGGACTGTCCACAGCGAGGGCACAGCGGCTGCGGAAGGAGCCGAGCTGCAAACCAAGTCTCTAAGGAAAGAGCACGTCAGACACTCTGCTCCCACGGCGCTTCCCTGAGGACGGTCCCCGCTCACCGCCGGAACGCCTGGCTCCGGCTGACGTGGACTCTAGAAGCCCTTCTCCTCTGCTGCCCCGAGCTCGGCAGACCGATGCACACGGCAGCACACGGACTGGTACCAGCTGGCACTACAGTCACAGTTTAGCAGAAACCCTCGACACGCGGTCTGCCCCAAGGTCCAAGTCGGGAGGGTCCCCCGCAGTGCCGCTCCCGCTAGGCTGACACGCTGGTGTTCACGCACGACCACTCCCAGTTCTCATGAGCCCAGGGAGCCCGAAGGCCACGCCTCTGCTCTCTGCGGAGCACGGCCCCCAGGCAGGTGGGAAGGAGCGGCACGTCCCTATTTCCCGTATCCTCCCTGAACACTGGCGCCCGCGTTCATTTCTCTGGGGCAGCCATTTTGCCGTAGCGTGAACTCGGTAGAGGTCAAGGTGCTCACAAGGTTCCCAAAGCCATATTCTCATAAGAAAAACCCGACTAGAGCTGACTGCTAACTGACCCTACGCACCTCCCACTGTCTGCATTCAGGCTCCAACACAAGCACAGCCCTTCCCCAGGCTCAGCCTCCCACCACACCACCCCCGCACGAGCAGGTTTCTTCTGTTTACAGAGATCCACCACGTCTAGAACTCGCTTCACTTGCGAGAACTCTATGCATAACACATTGCATGTTTCTGAACTGCTTTAAATTTTCAAAGAGCTCTTCTCTCTTGGAGTAAGATATCTAGTACAGAAATTGAATCCACATCTGATTAGTGCCTAAAACTTGGTAGGTTTTATGTCCTTATTCTCAGAAAAAATTCACATTTATAGGCCCAAATACATTGGAAAATGTTTTTAGCAGGCATATTAAATTGTGTGTTTTTTTCCCCTTTGACCACAGAAACTATGTTAGAAATTATTCTTAGATTTAGAAAAATATTTGTGGGTGTTTTTAGAATAGGAGGAAACAAAATAAAGTCATATACATGTATAACTAGTCCATTTTTAAAAATAGGAATATTTGAGTGGACAAACACCGAGTCGATCCATGGTGCGAGGGGTCCCGCTGGACGCGACCGGACACGAAGCTGAGTGCCACATGGGACACTCGCGGCACCAAGTGAGGGGCACGCGGGCGCGCAGTCGGTCTCGCTGCCACCGGCCCGGGCGCCGCTCACCTGCTGTCGCCAGGCAGACCTGCCTTTCGCAAAGCTTTCACCTACGTCACGTGGTGCGCGGGGCTCTGTGATGGGAGGGCCATCATGTGGGAGCACGCAGCTCGCTCCTGTTTGCTGCTGACCAGGGTCCTTCTCTAGCACACGTGGCGACGTCCGCTTCATCCACTCACCAGCCGACGGACGCTCGTGTTGTCTCCAGTTCTGTCCTTTATGACTAATGACCAGGGTGGTGCCCTCGGACAGACAATGGTCACGCATCCGGCTTCCTGAGAAGCTGCGGCTGCTTTCCGAGTGGCTGCAGCACTGCACCTCCCGCCTTCTACTCCTCAAGGCGCCACATGGCTGGTGACGTGAGCCCACTGAGAGTCAGGCCCTCTGCATGTGAACTCTCACAGCCCCCCTCCCTCCAGTGCAGCTAGAACACATGGCAGAGAGCACGGGACACGGAAACGCTTCGCTTCCACACACTCCAACCACAGAACCTCACCCACTGCCAGTCATTGCAAGCCCCTCAGACGTGGGCACCCCTCCTCTCCAACCGTCCTGCACAGACACTCCGCGTCCCGATATGCCACTCAAATACTAACGAGCGTGTAAGTAGGAAGACTGCCGACGGGGTGTCCGGCAAACCTGCGAAACCCGGCTAACCATGGGAACTACACACCCCTCCCCCAGCGATGCCACAGGCTCACCCCCTGGGCGGAGACTGAAGCCTGCTCCTCTGACAGCAGGACAGTATCCCTGGAGCGGACAGGAAACAGCAGGTGCCCAGGAGAGAGTGGTGTGCACGCCAGAGCCCACAGCAGCCAAAACACGGGCTCAGGGCTAAGAAATTCTGACAGATGCCAGGCCCCTCGAGACCTGTTGCGAGGTCAGGTACCACGCTCAGTGGCACAGAAACACACTGAGCAGAGAGGGCGATGTCCACTTGTGGGTTCTCAGGGCTCATGTCCCTCTCCCGACGCCTGCACTGGAAGGGGAGGCCCAGCTGCTGGGGAAAGGGCTCTGCTATTTCGCCAGCTGCCTGTGCTGCTTGGCTAGCAGCTGTGAGGCGTGTGGGTGGGCAGTGCGCTTTCTCCAGCAGGCCTTCTGCAGAGCTCCCTTGTTTATTCTCCCAGATGGAAAATGCCAAGGGGGAAAGTCAATTTTGAAAATACATTTCTCAAAAGATGCCAGGAGGACCTAATGTACAACCACACTGATCAGACGGCAGAAAGACTATGCTGATGCCTTCTTTCTTTTCCTTCTGCTTATATCTATAATAATAAAAGCATAATATGCTAATCAGACCAGATGTCCTTCCGGACGACCTTCTGGACGAAGCTGGGGCTGCGAGGGAAGCCCGGGTTCCGGGTGCCAGAGGGAACCTGGTGCTGGCAGCTGGGGAAGGAAAGCCTACTCTTGCACGAATTTCATACATCAGGCCTCTAGTATGACAATAAAACTCTGCTGACTATTCTATACAGCAGCAATGAACAACTGAAAACCAACATTAAAAGCACAATACCATTTATAATAGTCCAAAACACTGAAATCCTTAGGTATAAACCTCAAAAACCGTGTAGGCTCTGTGTGCTGAAAGTGACAAAACACGGATGACGTAAGTCAGAGGCCTACAGGAAGACTCGTCGGAAGAGTTAGCAAGGGGAAGGCATCAGTTCTCTCCAGAGGGATGTGACTCTTGGAGAGATCCAGCCAGACGGCTGGCAGGCACACTGACTCTAAAGTGTGTGTGGAAAAGCAAGGCAACCAGAGAGCTAAGAGAGTTTTGAAAGAGGGCTCATTCTTTGTACTGTACAGTTCTGTGACTTTCGACAAATTCAGTGTCCCAAAAAACGTATATACACTTTGAGCATAAAGTCAGTGTTTATTAACATACTAGAGGCCTGATGCACGAAATTTGTGCAAGGGGCTCGGCCCTTGCAGCCCGACTGCCTCGCGGCCCCACAGCCCCGCCCACTGGTCATTCCGGAAGGTCGTTCAGAAAGTCGTTCCATGGTCTGGTTTAATTAGAATATTAGCTTTTTATTATATAGGGCAGTTCATTTTCCACATGCATTCCCAGTTATCATGGTGCAGTTTAGATCACTGTAAAATATTCAGTGTCTCTGTAGGAGTTTTGTATGTTGATCTCACACACACACACACACACACACACACACACAGTTGGCTATACTATATTATTTTAGGCTAAACATAAGTTTACTAAAAGGCTATGCTATAGAATAATCAAGACCTAAGAAAAGCAACTACTCACAGGCAATGTAAAATAACCTGGCAAATGCAGAAAGTAAGTTTTCTAGTCCCAAACTAGATCCATTTTAAACTCTAGAAAAAGGATATGCATTGCAATATAGGGGTTTGGAACTTAACTTTCATCACTCTAAAAGTTGCATACAAATTCAAGCTTCTATCTTTTTCTAGAAATGTGATATTTATGAAAGTAAATGTATAAGGACCTGGGGAGTGAAAAGGTAAACCTACACAAAGCCAGAGGGAAGGGAAACATTTAGTGTGAAAGTAGATCCTTAAAACCCCAAAAGAAACGTTAAGCCAAGAAAACATAAAAATCTATAGTCTTCCTATTGGCTAAGGCCTTCTACATCTGAGATTACATGTAAACTATGAAAATGAACAGACAAGTCGCTGTGGGCCACCGGCCGCACATGCAGTCCCTGACACAGCCACATGCTGCTACTTCTTTTAATAGAAACACATTTTCATTAGAAAATCTTTGCAGATCATCGCTCCAATATTGGGAATAAGAACACAAGGATTTACACAAGTCTTTTTCTACTACTTTTTGAAAATTTAGCTGTATTTTTCCTACTTTAAGCTGTTTGATATTTATAATAACTCAAAAATGTTCATTATACAAAGAAGTAAAAAACAAGAAACAAACTGAGTTTGCAGTGTGTTCACAATGGTATGAACACTGACCAGCTAGCCTGGCTGGTGTGGCCATTGGTTGGAGCTTGGTCCTGTGCACAAAAGGTTGAAGGGTCAAAAATTCGATGACCAGGCGCAGCACACACCCAGGATATGGGTCTGGTTCGATCCCGTGTCGGGGTGTGTACAGAAGGCAACCAATGGATCTCTCTCTCTCTCGCCTCTCTCTCTCTCTCTTTCTCTCTCTCGCTCTCTCTCAATGAATAAAAACATGTCCTCGGGTGAAGATTTTTAAAAAAACCTGTCCAATTAAAGGAAATACTAGTAATATAAGAATGTTAATAATTTTCTTCAGGTAGCAGAACTAATTAGGGTGATTTCTCCTTCCTTTTTCCTTTATATCAGATTTTCTTAAATTCACTAATAAATATGTATTACTTTTATAATTTAACATTCTTTAGAAAGAGATGAAATGACTAAAAGTCACTTCCTTATCCTCAAGCAATCATCTCAAGTACAGGGTGGTTCATAGAAAACTCTACCTGGCAACAGCTGCTCACAGCCATGGCTGCACTGCACCCAGCGGCGACGGCACACCTGCTTTCCTGCGCACGGGGGCCACGCTGCCGGAACAGCAGATGCGCCCAGTTATGGTGGCACTTACCTCTTGGGAAAAAGTATCTCCTTAAACTAAATACAGATGTTTCTCCCTTTTTATTCTTATGTAAGTGCTTACAATCAAATTAGAGTGTATATGCTAGCTATGGAAATATTTAATACGAGAGGCCTGGTGCATGAAATGTGTGCACTGGGGGAGAGGGGTGTCCCCTGGGGATCGGGCCTAAGCCAGCAGTCAGACATCCCTCTGCAGTCCAGGGCTCTCACAGTCCAGAACTCCTTACCACCCGCCTACAGTGAAGGCGGGAGAGGCTCCTGCCACCGCTGCTGCGCTCGCCAGCCGGGAGCCCGGCTCTGGCTGAGCAGCACTCCCCCTGTGGGAGCGCACTGATCACCGGGGGCAGCTCCTGCGTTGAGCACCTGCCCCCTGGTGGTCAGTGCGTGCCATAGTGACCAGTTGTTCCCCTGCTCGGTCTATTTGCATATTAGGGTTTTATTGTATAGGATATCTTGGAACCTAACAAAATCCAAGCCCCCTTCACAACACGGTGCTAAAGGCTATAAACACCTATCAGACAGAATGGACTGAGGCAGACACTAGAAAGCCCAAAGAGCAGGTTATTATTCAGAGGCCACTTGAGGGCAAAGCAGGGAAGAAAGGAAAAGCCGGCCTCCCTGCTGTGGACGCAGGCGCTGAGCAAGCCCACTCCCTGGGGAGGCGGGCGGTCGGAGGAGAACCTCCCGGGGCCGCAGGACACACGGGGAGGCTCCGGAGTCGGAGCCCAGGGTGAAGGACATGAGCGCGACAGCTGAGCTGTGGGCGGCACTTGGCCTAGAGGGGAACCTCCCAGGTCTCTGAGAGCGAAGCCCAGCACCAGCCAGACCGATGACCTGCCTCCAGCACCGCACAACCTCAAACCCCTGACCTGGTCTGAGGCGTCCTGAGGGTTCTGTTCTGCACAGGTCCTGTTTCTCAGGTTTAATACATACATCTGTCTCCCTCATATGGCCTCAACTTCCATGTAATGATATGATAGAACAAGCACAATCTTAGCTTATCATGTTATTTATCAACACAAATCGCCTTCTGGGCTTGCGCAAGTGTCGTCACTTACGTCTTGAAAGGAGTTGCTCCACGTGACTGGGGTGAGCCTTCCCCGCTAACAGATCACCCATCAGTCTTCAGGACGACCCCACTTGTTTCTGTGGCATCGCACCCCCTTTTCCCGGAGAAGCTGCCCCTGATGAACACAGCGGCCTGCTTTTCGGGCGGTGGGCAGTCAGCATACCCACACTGGGAAGGCCGGGG